TATGAATCATTGCATAGCACAAGACAATGGAGAAAGTCTCCTCAGCACTCCAGGAATGTGTATCTAGTTTCACCTAATTTCATCATCCCTCTATATTGTAGGTCCATTTAAGAATCAAATATTTTCTTATTACTTGTGGGAAGTCTCTCTCTTGTTCTAAAACACACACACATACACACACCTACAGCCATTTGCTGTGTGTCCTCTTGCTTTCAAGGTTAAACTGAAGCTCCTCTGATGCTCGCAACACATTTGCATCAAACCACAAGCCAACAGCTGCCAATTAACACACAGCCTCTCTGTTGATACACACATGTCACAGGCACTTAGAGAGTCAGGGGATATCTCTCTTCCAACAGGCAATATACCACAAACCGTGAACATAAAAAAAAAAACAGATTAAGGTGCAGGGTAGACATAACTGGATGGAAAATGTTTTTGAAGGTTAGGAGTAAACGTGAGAGAGAGTGTTACTGATGTGCAGGGTACAAGGTTTTTTACTATTTGCTTTTTCATGCAGTTACAGAACAAAGGTAAAAAGACGAAGAAAAGAGGTGGGCTCAGTGAGATCCGACAGAAAAACATAGCTGCTCAGTCTGTTACACACATGAAACACAGATATATGGACAGCATAATCATAATAACCAAGGGCGTAGGTTTGATTTGAACTTTGGTAGGGACACTATTGGTCTGGTGTCATTGGTGCTATGCAATATGCATGCCCTTTTTTATGCTCGATGTGAGCATCCGTACTGATAAGAGGTATTCATTGTTAAAAGAGAAAAGCAACATTTTGCTCCACTAATAAAAATGTTATAAGCTCTACACTCATTAGATGCTGTTTATCAATGTTTGAAGTATCACCGGCTCTGATCAATGTGGAATTAGGACTGTTTTCCACTTTGAAAACGGTTTGATTTGAACGACTAAGAGAGAAGGTAAATACAGTATTTTCTTCTGAAGATATAGAATTGTGCAGAGTTAAACCCCACTGTTATATTTGTACCTACTATGCTCTCTCTGTATCAAGCAAAATAATACAATCATTAAAATATTAACTTCACTATAAAAGTTGAACATCTGGGCTGTAGTTACTCTGTGTCGCCCATTTCATGTATTTCATCTGGGGCTGAAAAAAATTAATCATATTAATTGATTATTTCAATAATCGTCAACTAATTTAGTGAGTGATTCATCATTAACTGGAGAATAGAGACTCTAAAACATACAGTAATATAAATGTAAAATGTGCATTTGCCCACAGAGCAACCCACTTAGATCAGTTATTATATCAAAATTGTAAAAATAAAAACAAAAAAATGAAAACAGTAATATCAACTAAATATCGGTAAAAAGGAAACCCTCACATTTTCTTTTTTAGTTGGCTGTGGCTAAGAATCAGAAATGTTGATGGCTTAAAGCCTTTATTTGCCCATTTTTCCAGCAGTCTTCAGAACTCCTGGCTGACTCAGAGTATTTCGTTTTATAAAAGAAAAAAAAGGTTTTTGTTCTTTAGTGAACATGATATTATTTTTTTTTTATCGGGACTAGTTTTGTAGCCTAATATTAATTGTAGTAACCGCTGCATTCTAGTGTGAATACGTTTTCAATGTTGTGCTCCAAGCACACGCGGACTAGAAAACAGCCAATCAGAGAGAGAGAAGGCGGAACCTAAGGCAGAACAACCAATGAGAGTGGAGTTAAACAGCGCAGCACAGTTCCATGCGCTGCTACATGAAAGGGACAGGAGAGACCAGGCAGAGGAGCTGCGAGAGGAAAAGAAGCCACTGCTGCAACAACTACTGCTGGAAATTATAAACATGTTGCTCACATCCAATTATTGGTCGGGACAATTAGGTCGGTTCAAAATTTTGGTAGGGACATGTCCCTATGGTCCCTATGCAAACCTACGCCCATGATAATAACCTTCATACAGCAACAGCAAAAACAACTAGCAGACATGGTAATAAAAATGTGTTATTGAAGCCAGCCACTAGATGGCATTATCCTGCCTTTAATTTTCAATTTGCAAGTCTGATGTCTGATAAACCAACTATTATTAAGATTTAGCTGAAAAAAAAAAAAAAAAAAGGTTCTTCCCATATCAGCTTACAGTATACTAAAGAGGAAACATCTATTGTGAGGGTTTTGGCAATGATGATTATTTTTCTTCATTTTGATCATTATGAAATATTATTTTCATCTTCTAGTAGTTTTAGTTCATGCTGTTCATATCGCCCAAAGAAATTAGGCTTACAAAGCTAGAAAAGGTAATATACAACCTTCCAAACATGTTCGTAGTGCTTTACATTTTCATATTGTGTCAGATCATTGGAAAAATATTGATATTTAACATAGCAGACGCTGCAACGTATTGCAAAACCCAGTGAAACTAATAGCCTTTGCAAATCACCTATTTACTAATTATCAGGCTTTGTGCAAGGTAATCTCAGTATAGATATAAAGCTTTATTGGGAAGGGCTTAGGGGTTTGTTAAGCAGCAAAATGAAAAAAAAAAGCAGCACAAAGACCAAAGACAACAGCAGAGAGGACATTGTTAAAGTTTTTTTTTTTTCCTGAAGATGAAAACAGGGTTATAAAATAAAAGGCTAAAAATAGAAAAGGGAAAATTGTCAGAGAGGAAAAATACATTGTTTACCTGGGAAACTACTTCAGAGGGTGCAAAAGACTTCATAATGTGTTGGAGGTTCACTGTAAAAAAGGGAAACAACTCTAAACATACAGACAAAGCTACAGTAGTTACTGTTGGATCAAATCATCAACATGTAAGAATGTTGATGATTTGATCTGACTTAATTCCAATTAAGAATCTGTTGCAAGACTCTTTATCCAAACTCTTGGAATTTTTGCTGTTTTGGCAAAGAAGAACTGGTAAAGGTTTCTGTCTCTTAGTGTCTAAAACTGGTAGGGAGACCAACACTAAAAGACATAGCAGTAATAGCTTCAGCTAGAAATTAATGTTTAATACGAGGATGATGTAATAACCATCTTCCCCAGCCCAATTACTTCTTTAAAGTTTATATTTTTAATTAAATGTATCCTGTAAATACAGCACATCTACCAGTTAGTTTAATTAGAACTCTTTTAATGTACTTTGCTTTCCTTCAGTCTCACTTTATCTTGCAGATTGTGACTGTAGCTGGATTCAGAGAGAATACAGTTTATCTACTGACCAATCAATCAGGGGCACTCAGCTTGTGGGAGGTCGGCAGCATTCGACAAGACTTGAGTCAGACAGTCAATACAATGACCTTCATCCTAACAAAAGATTAGCTGAACCCGATCAGGCACATTGGGCATTCTGGCACTCTTGTTAAATAAATAAAAAGTGGTTAAAAAGAAGAATCCAAAGCTACCAAAAGTTCTTTTGTCTGTGGATTTCTAAGAATCTTCTCCAGACATGTCTATTAACAGACATTTAATGTTTAGGACTTTCAAATATTAGAATCTTTAATCGTAATGGTAAAAATGTCATAATCTAGGATGGTTGTCTGTGTGTTTCACCCCCTCTCCGTGGGAATCAGCCAAATACTGAGCAGTATTCTAATAAGACCTACTACACAAAATAAGATGATTAAATTTTAGATACTCCAGGAACCAGAATTTTTCTTTAGTCTCTGCATATTCACCGAGTGTCTCTCTCTTAGTAGATCTACTTACCTGGAACTTGTTTCCCTAAGAACAATCTTACCACAGAACAATCTCTGAAACACATGTCTTCTATGATGCATAGATTTGTCATGATGCTTGGGTTTAAAGTTTTTCTTGGGCCTCTGGTTTCTTCTATTTTCTGTTGTTTATCTTCTCCAGATTGTTCTTCATTGGATTTTTCCTTTATTCTACCTCACTCTCCATTTTCCTCAGTTTCCATGCCTGTTGCTGCCTGTGTCTGCCTATGATACTGCAGATGCTGTATTCCTTTTGTGCAACTCTCATAGGTTCTTTATTATCAAATAACAGTTTTTCACTTTAATAGTATGATATGCACTGTAGCTGCTCTTACAGGCCTCAGCATCTGGTAGCACATGTAAAAAAGGAAATTGTATTACGACTGCCTTGTATTGGATTGTCGGCCGTCTTGAGTTTCGTTTAACTTACCTCCTCATATCTTGTGTTTTGCTCTGCTTTTTGTCTAAAGCAGGGTTGCCCAAAGTCAGACTGTGTTTTGTAGAACACTCGATTTCCATTAATGGTGGAATAAAAGGCTTTTGGTGAAGTGTAATCATCTGACTCAGATCTTCTCAACCATGGAAATATCTGAAACCTGCATGGTACTGACCCTCTTGGATTGAAGCCCAGTCCAAATAAATCTAATTAATAAGGACGTTTTAGTCATGGTGGAAGTACCTCAGCCATCGTCATAATAAGTGCTGTCTGTCTATATATGTACATATATAAATGGGGTTGTTTCCTTATATCCCAGTTTTCCACAAAAACTGTGTATTTGCTTTCCATGCAATGTTATCATGCCCAGGGATTTATTTCCATGTTGGTAGGTTAGATTAATTTCAGACAGGTATATGTTTAAAGAGTTTTAATTCTATTAATTTGGATAGACAGAGCTTACAGCTAATAAAAACACAAAATTCAATCTGTCGGAAGAGCAAGGATGGAATAAGCTGAAAATATGAAACAAATCCTCAAACAAATTAACTTTAAAGGTAGTCTTATTTATTGAGCTGGATGACTGCAAACAATAATATACATCTGCAGCATGCAATATTTTTGTATTGCAGTTTAAGGTCATTAACAGAATAAATAAAAAATAAAAGGAGACTGCAGCACAGGCAGCTTTTAACTGTGAAAAAACATTTGGTTTAACATTGTGCCATAAAGAATAAGAAACAAATGAAATGATGACTCTTCAGAGTTAAAGCAGAATTGTTAATGTGTACCGTGACTGAATATCAAAAATGTTGTTGGGTCTTTTCCCCTCTCTCCGCATGTTCATTTTCTAGGTAACAGCAGCAGGAATGTTATTTTTTTTTCCTCTGGAGATGATAGCTCTGCCCCTTTCTGCTGGTTCCTCTTCTTGTTTATACTTATTGAGGCTAATATTGGCTGCAAAATTTTTTACAATCAATGGACGATTCCTCACTGGCCTTCTACTGAGAACACAGGAGCAGACAGTAAGAACAGTGAGATGTTTAACCAGTACAAAAATGCAGCTAACTTAGTTCACTGTGGTCTTCTTGATAACAGACATCATTTGTATCTATTTCACTAAACAGCATGCCATCCACCTCATGGTAATGCCCCATTAACTTATATTGTTCCTCCATCTGCTGTTCGAAGCCCTCCATCTCTGTTTCACGGGCCAACCTGTAGTTCTGGATCTTATCAGAGCTTTCCTTCAGGCTGGCCTCCTCTCGTTCCGATTCCTCTAGCTCTGATAAATCCTTCTGGCATCTGCATCAAAGCACAAGGCCTTAATATATGAATTGCTGTTATGCATTTAATAATCACAATTTACAGCCACATATTGTATGCATTGATCTTTCAGAGATGTCTCCCTCCAAAATGGACATTAATGTGCAAGTAGTATAGTTTTAATCAATGTATTCATTAGCAGTGCATACCAAAACATGTTCCTATACAGCATTGTCCAATTCCACATACTTAAAAGGGATGTTGTCCTTCATTTAAAGTAAAAAAAAATATGGAATAAGAAAGCCATAAGAAAGCAAGAAATATGGTATTCTATAAATGAAGAGGATGCAGGTCTAAAACAACCAGGACAATGGATAATTATGGCTGAAACTGTTACTTGAAGATGCAGAAATTTTATAGATCTTCAAACCAAATTTTAAAAAAGGAAAAATGTAATATTTTTATTACACATATAGTAACATAAATTGCAGCCCAGAATAACTATTTATTAAATGCAATTTAACATTGATAGATGCTGGAGGGTCCTTAAAGTAAAGCTATATTCCTTTGAATGCAGATGAAAAACAAGACAGATAGACACTTATTCAATGTGGAAATAATGTAGATAATCAGTAAAAAATAGTGAAGAGGAACAGGTAAAAGAATACACTGGAGATCTAAAACCAAAATAAAAAGTAAGCTTTTGCTAATCACAAAGAAAGCTGTGGTTGACGAGTCAAAAAGAAGCAAAGACCAAAGAACCAAACGACCCGCTAGTCAGTTTCAATTTGCACGTTTCCAAACAATACAAGGCCTTGTCTATATAAAGCCCCAAACTCACTGCCAATCCAGACATTTGAATTGAGAAAGATTCCTGGACGGGAAGCGAAAAGTCTTCAAACCTTGGAAACCAAATCCAGTGGATTGTTTTTTAAACTTTTACGGAATGACAATGACCTGGATGATGGAGAATCTTCATCGGCTATTTTTTTTTAATTTTGCCTATTTTTTGTACATATTTAGCCTTAAGTTAGTCCTCAGTTTTGCCTTCTTTGTTTGCCTTTCGATTTCATCAGATTTTCAAAAACAGTATGACTTCCAAATGAATGTCAGCACTTTGGTCTAGAACACTTAAACACAACAAAGACAAAGCCAGCAAAGGTTAATGAACAATGTCTCTCTTTTATCTTTGTTGCTCCATGAAATATTGTGTAATAAAGCTGCAAGTGAAAAATAAAAAAACGTAAATTTATGAGCAGCTCCTGGTGTCAGCCATCCCACCTGACAAGAAACATATATGCCTACACATAGTAACACACGTGGTCACACACCGTAAAGCATTATAAAAGGTGAAGGAGAGGGGGCACATCTCTTTGGAACAACGAGCTCATTGGGGCTCAGAAATAGCTCTCTAATTAACAGACCCAAATATTCTCTCATGTGTCCTGGAGAGGGATGGACAACAAGAGAGGTGGAGAGAGGGAATGAAGAATGGCATATGGAGGATTCAGTGGGATCACACGTGAAATTACTGAAAAAATTCTAATGTTAACATATGTCAAGCTTAAGATATTGTAAGTTAAGGTTGAGGCAAAACGACATTTCGAAATATACAAAGAGAGGAATGTTAACAAAAAGCAGTGCAAACACCTATCTCCATTCTTTAGTTGATGCATAAACAACAATTCAAAAGTTCAAAAAGATGGGAGCCCTCTGGACCAGTTGTGCTGCCCTTTCAAGCTGGGGAAAAGTCTTCACCACTCTAATAAAAGCTAAGGTCATAAGGGAAATTTACCTTAAAAGTCTTGCAGAAGTGGTTTAATCCACGCTGTTGCTACTGAAATAATGCAGTCACTTGAACCTATTTTGCATTTCATAGCCTAAAACCTCAAAGGCATGCACAAATGTGCAAACATGCAATATTCCTTAGTGAAATTAGGCCTTGATATGTCTGTAGCTGTTATTTCCAAATGAAGCAACTATACAAGTACTAATCTAGATACAAAAAGAGCGATGGCAGACCTGATCAAATGACTGTAGTCGAAGTGAAGAGAAGGCCGAGGGGGGGCATTCATTTTATCGTTGGATGGACTGACATGGATATCAGAATCAAAGCTAGGTGGATCTGCAAAAGAAGCAAAAATTTAATTTAAAAAAGCAAACATATAATAAACACATGGATTTAAGTCTTGGATCATCCTTCATTTAAGTGAAAAATAATACCTATGGCTCTGCTTTTTTCTTGAACCGCATTAAGAAAGAGGAGGCGGGATTGAGCAGCCTAAAACAACAGAACCACAATATCTCAGTAGTGTTCAGAATGTTACAGCACATTATGTGTAAAACTTATTTTTCATTCACGATAGGGCTTAAATCTTTCAATAGATCTAAAAAATATATATCTCTAGGTTATCTGGGCTACCTTTTCAGAGTGTTCTGGCTCAGCCATTTGCCAGACTTTTTTAATGGATCTTATCTGGTCATCTCTCTCCGTATCTCTTTTCACTTCAATGCACTCTGATTTGGCTTCGTCAGTGACGACACGAAGTGTCCAGTTTGGCTTAGTCAGGTCGAGACTCTGCAAATTTACACACATGAACAATACAATAAAGGTCATGTTACCCTAAAAAACTAGCTGAAGATTATTGTAAAGCTTTTTGCAATGCTTTAAAATGGATAAATTCAGTCCACAAAAGGGCCTAGCTATCCAGTTTTTAAGATTGCTTGTCATCTGTTCTAACTTAATGTAGTAAAATGTGATAAATTCAGGTAATTTACTTTTTATATTTTTCCTTTGCCTTCATGTAAAACTGAGTAAATTTTATAAAATTGATTGTTTTACATTTTCATTGATAAGCCTTAAATGATTTTTTAGCAAAAGCCAGGCAGTTAAGAACTGTAAATGCAAAAACAGCCTTTTAAAACAAACTTTAAATATTACAAACAACTCAGAAGAAATCTCAGTACACGTATAACAGCATTTGTGATAAAAAAAACAAACAACAGCACATAGAAGCACATTTACTGCTCATAAAAATTTCTATATATTCACCTGCCAAACATCAGTCTTATACATTATAGATTAGAAATCTTTTAGAATAGGCGGCCCTATTTTGTCCTAGTTTTTGTGGTTTGCCGTTTTTTTTTTTTTTTTTTTTTTTTGCAACAGCATTTGTTTGCATTACATTACCCTTTCCTGCTGGCGCCCAGATTTAGGAGAAGCAGCTGTCTTCTTTTTCTGCTTGTCACCTTCACTTTTTCGGGTAGTTTTGTGTTTTTTAGACTTATTTCCATCGTTGCTTGATGTACTGGTTGTAGATGGAGACTTAAAATCTTCACGTGTGAACACAAAAAAAAAAGACGGAAATTATTAGAACAAATTGGGAAAGGAATAAACATTCTAAAAAAGCCTTATGGGTTTCAGATAATGTAGATTTTTCAAACATAAAAAAACAACATTATTTTATCTTATATTTTTTACTTAACCCAGTTTAAATGTTATATTTATACACACACCTATTTCTGTTTTAATATTCATTTCTATCTCTGAATATTTTTTTCAATTCTACTTTAAACAAATAAAGTTTCTTTACTTTATATAGTAGAAAGTGATCTGCATAAAAAAAAAAAAAAATCTGTGTATTTGTAGTACACTCACATGAATGCTAGATGGCACTGTTGCACTTTAAAGCCAAAACCAAGACACTTCCAAGCTTGGATTAAGTGGATCTTACTGTTTTTCTGCCTAGCAATGATAATTTTGCATTTAACTCACTTTCTGACATTATCTTTGAAACACTTTCATAGATGCTTCTTTCATGAAAAGAAGTGGATCAAAACATTATTTTGCCAAGGCACAAAATAAATATTGTATAAAAAATATTTGAAATAGTGTTTTGCTTGTTGAAGTGTCAGGTTCCACAGAACATAACTGCACAAACCCCTACTGTTGGTGGTTAAATGTTGCTATGGCTCATTAAAGGATATATAGTAGACATTCAATGTTGTTTGTGTGCAAAACACTTGAAGTGCAGTAATTTTATTGCATCATAGTATACTTAACTTGTAAAATAAGCTTAAAAGCTTTGCATGGCATGCAATGCATGTGTATCTGTGTAGCATGAAGGGATCATGATCAAGGGCACAGTCCCACCACTGAGACAGAGTTAAACTGGGTGAAATTAATCCAGTCTTCTGCTTGGATATTTCCCTGGGCACCAGGGGGCAAGAGCCAACTTCATCTGACATCCCATTGACCCATTTTTACAAAATTATCTAAAGAACATGGGTTTTTGTAGCCTGACCCCTTCATACACTGATGAAAGAACCCGGTGAAAAAAATCAAAAACATTTTCCAATAGGATGGATTATAATATAACACAATTTTAATAAAAGAACAAAGAAATGGTGCTGGAACAGCACATATTTTAGGGAGAGAGTGATGACAGTCCCTGATTTCTGCAAGGAAAATAATTTAAAATAATTTTTAAAACCTATATTTATTGTATGATATTATATGACATGAGATATATGTTCTATGATTATATTACCATATGTTATATTCTAACACTTTGTTTTTTTTTTAGAAATGTAAAGCAGACATATTCATCTGCTTTGCATTCGATCATAACAGGATTCTTACCAACAGAAGTCGGAGAATAGACCTAAAACTGCTTAGGTACAAACATTTCTTCCTAAATATGAATCACAGCTCAAAGAAAACAAAGAATAAGATGTGCATGAGCAAAGGTAAAGGAAAAACACAAAAGAAAAAAACACTGCATACATTATTAACCTGTGGCTTGAATGTTGGCAATGTTTTAATGTAAAAAAAAAACAACCAAAAAGGCACAAAGTATGAGGGATCTATGAGTTATACAAGATACATTATAAGATCTGGGTTCGTAAATTAGGATTTACTTGAGAGATACTTTTGTTTTTGACAATCCTGGGAGCAATTGAAAATGGCCAGAGGTGTCACCATCAATATTCAAGTAGAAGTAAAAATACCACGATTAAAAAAGACTTGAAGAAATTCAGGTATTAGCTCAAGCTTTTTACTCAAGTAGAAGTATAAAATTTCAGAACTACTAACAGTATTAAGATAAAATCAATGTAAAGGGGGGAAAAAATGCCACGAAGTACAAAGCTTGTATGTTATATAAAAATGTTAAAGTTGAATTTGAAATACACTAGGATGACTATTTCAGTTGGATATATATATCCACAGAAAAATACTGCATTCATGTACATTGGGAATATATAAGATAAACCATATGTGCACTAATAAGCAGTAATGTGTTTCATGAAGCCCAGATATATTGATTAATTGCCTATGATGCATAAAGTCAGCCTTTATTGGACAGTAAAAGTACATTCCAACTTGGAGTAGATGAACTAATGTTCAAAGGGCAGATTTTGTAACAATCATTTAGGTATAGTTGGTCAGATAATGTACACGGCACAGAAAAAAAAAGTAATTTCTTAAAGTAACTGATCAAAAACTAGAAAAATAACCCTATTAATTCACAATACGCCATTTCGCCATGGATGTACAAAAGTTGTCTAGTCTTTTTGGAAAACAACCATCTCGGTGGTGCTTGGCTGTGACATTTTGCACCACCTCTTTAGGATATTTTGAGTCACTTAAAAACTGTAATAAAAATGAATAATAAGGTTACTTTAAAAAAAATTAAGAGTAGAAAGAACAGGTAATTTGGAGTAAGAGTAAAAAGTCGACTGAAAAATTATCACTCCAGTAAAGTAATCGATAACAAAAATTTCTACTTAAGTAAAGGAGTATAGTATTTATACTTCTTTACTTGACACCTTGGAAAATGGCCAAGTGTTCGATGTTGCGTCTAGCCAAGTTTGATTTATGGAACTCACCTCTCATTTCATTCCTCTTTATTTCTTGTAGCATATGGACAAAAGTTATCTGGGATTCATCCAAAGTCCAGCTGCTACTGAGCACCTCTGCCTGCACCACATACTTATGATCCTGGAGTAGAAAAATTATTGGCAACATATAAACAAAAAATGCACATGCTACAAAAAACAACACATACACATACGTCAATTTTAGACTAATCAGTTCAAAAAATATTATTTCAGAAATCTTTGTCTGTGATATCTCTGCCAATCTTTAGTCTTCCTGTCATGCATTTTCTAAGAGTGCAAAGGTCCCTCTTTGTAAACATCCATTAGAATTTTATCTTGTGTTATAGCTTTTATATTGGACAGGATTAAGCTGTTATATCAGCAGTAGATGTTTTACAGCTCCTTGAGACTTCTTATAGCTTTTTGTAGTGTGCTATCAGGATAATTTAGCTAAAATAGCCACATCATTGCATATTGGCAGTTGGTTCCAATGTCTATGTGTTCTATATAATTCAATGGTTGCCTTTAAATGCTTTCCAGGATCTTAAACCATGAAACAGGCTCACGAGCTGTTACAGTCTTTTACTAGGCTTCATTTTTTTGTGCTGAAATCTTTTAGTGTTATAAGATGAAAATTAGGGTCTATGTTTCCTACATGTTGGATAAACACACAGGCTGTCACAGTGTGACTTTCACCTAATTAAATGTATAAGTTAAATACTGATTACAATAAAGGGATGTTTACAGGGAAAGACACTCGTAGCGTAAATTCTGTGTGGTCTTGTGCCTTAATCACGTTTACTGTCATTCTACTCCAAGTCTTGATTGATTCAAAGTCTGGATCAATAGCTGTATGATCGCAATGGCTCCTGGTGTGTTGGTCCACTGATCTGTTGGATCTGATATGATCTATATCAGTAGTTCCTGTGGACTTGGAATTTTTTCAAGGCTTAATGAATGTGAACCAACATAAACATCATGAGGTGCTAAACTTATTTTAACTGCAAAATTCCCTTGTTTTAAATTGATGTGTGGTAAATATTCATATTTTTTAAAACAGTGTGTCTATGATACAGATCTGTAACTTGACAAAAAGATTTAAACTTAAGATGGTACGGAGAATACCTGTTGTTACCGTCTGGTAATTAATCATTGTTATTCTGCTATTCATAGCAAATATGGATAAGTCACACAGCCACAAAAACACCAATTCACATTCTGCTGCTTGCTTTGTTAGATCCTCACTGTATAAGTGTGTGTGGGTGAATGTAAATCAGTGTGTGTGCATGCCTAAAAATCAGGCGTTATCTTGCAGGAGGCAAAACTGATATGGACAGAGAGTAACTAACTGGGTGAGAAGGACAAGCAGAGAAATAGAGATCAGTTATGTGTTGGCAATAATACAGTAGTCTTTGATGGTACCTTGCTCTGGTCGGATGGGATGTCTGATCTCCCTGCTGGGCTGGCTGTGACATGCCTTTGCTCAGAAGTATCTTGGTACAAGGATACATTTTGTTTTTTATCTGTACAACCCGGGTCTGTAATTCAAAGTGACAGTAAAATTAACAGGGTATGAAAGCAAAGCTAAATTTGTTGGTTAACAGATCAGGGCAGAGCGGCCTCACAGCCTAGGTATTTAACATAAATAAATAACATTAGTTGCAACTGTCTTAGTTTAAAAATTTTATACTTTATCACTTGAACAATGCGTAAAAATCTTATCCATAAACAAACTGATTCCAAAATAAGCAGGTATAACTGAAATTAGGGAAGCAAGAGATATTGCTGAATAAAGACGTGAATTTGGCTAAAAAAAGATTCAATTGTAAAATAAAGAAAAGCGTTTTTGAAACATCAGCATAACAGCTGAACATCATGATAACATTCAGGAACTCATGATATAAAGTCAGACACAAGGTTATTTTTCTAGAGTACTGCTAAATTTGTTATGGAAAAAAAAACATGACAAAACAGCAGGAAACCAAATTAAGATAGGGTAGTTTAATCTATGAACCCTAATTTTTATTTTTTCTAAAAAGCCTTAAAGGAATAGTACACCCAAAACATGATTAGCCTTCATTTTCTACTCACCCCCATGCTGAACAAAACTCTGGAGTACTTTTTTGATATCTCAAATGCATCTGGAGATCGGGGAGGCTTCTTGCTGTCTGCTGACATTCAAATAATGGAGGTCTATGGCGCCCGAGACAGAAAGGTCCACAAAAGTCCACAAAAACGTGTCAATATTCCTCCATACTGCTCGTCCAATGTAATCCAAGTGTCCTGAGTGGGTAGCATCCAGAATTTACTCGAAACGAAGTCATTTAGAATGTTTTTAGAGCATAAACAGTAGTGTATAGGATTTCCTAATAGCGCCCCCATGCGCGCTCACGATTCTACGGAAGCCGGCAGACCAAACAAGCGCATTCAGCTCGGCAAAGAACTCATGCTCTTCCTCATCACTGAAGTCCTCAGACATTTTTCTTTCGTTGTTTCTTTCTTTGCACAGGTAAACAGCACATTTCTTCTTCTACGCTTGCATTATCGGCAGAGCAGACGCTGAATGCGCACTTTCTTCCAGTTTGGTCTGCCGGCTTCCGTAGAATCGTGAGCGCGCATGGGGGCGCTATTAGGAAATCCTATACACTACTGTTTAGGCTCTAAAACGTTCTAAATGACTTCGTTTCGAGTAAATTCTGGATGCTACCCACTCAGGACACTTGGATTACATTGGACGAGCAGTATGGAGGAATATTGACACGTTTTTTGTGGACTTTTATGGACCTTTCTGTCTCGGACACCATAGACCTCCATTATTTGAATGTCAGCAGACAGCAAGAAGCCTCCCAGATCTCCAGATGCATTTGAGATATCAAAAAAGTACTCCAGAGTGTTGTTCAGCATGGGGGTGAGTAGAAAATGAAGGCTAATCATGTTTTGGGTGTACTATTCCTTTAAAGAAATATTTTTGATGGATTCAATACATTGTGGAAAGATATTTGGTAAAAATTTGAGGTTGACAGGACTTTCCAAATAGACAATAACTTTGTACAAAGCCTTGCAAATATATCCACAAACCTTAAACCTTTTCACATTTTGCATGTCCTGTCTTAGTTTTTCTGTAGCTCTGCATTATTTTTCAATTTCCGCTTATTTATATAGCAGTGCCTTATACATGAGGAATTGTTGCAGAAGAGCGAATCCTGCAAAGTCATCGACTTGTTTACATTTTTTATCAGTTTGTCTGTATGATTTGATTGAATTCTCTCCATAAAGTACCTTTAGATGAAACAAATGAAACACTCCTATATTGGGTTATTATCTAACTTTCACAACCTGCACATGTTATTGTTTCTATTCACTGGACTCACCTGTACTCAGTTGCTGCCAAGTGTAATTAATTCTGTTTCCTCATAGTCCGGTCTTATATTTACATCCTGTTTACATGCTGTCCACATCCTGTTGCTGTCACCTTGATTTCCCTCATATCCTGTATGTTTATCTTTTTCCATTATATCCTTTCAACATGCACTTGCTTATGATCTGTTGCTGCCACCGCAAACTCTGACAGTAACCCTGATTCAAACATGTTTATAACTTTATTCCTGACTTGTCTCCTATGTGTTTCTTGACCTTCATGAAGCTGCTTGTTGAACTATTTTCTCTAGCAAACATTTGACACCTTCACAACACGATTTGTACTCAGACCGAATTAAAAATAGGTGGACTGAATTAAAAAGCAACTGGTAATGGAAATTTGTTGACTATAAGAGTAATGGGGAATGAATAAAAATACATGTCAGATTTACAAAAAAAACTACTTGAAAACCATTTATGCTTTTCTTTAAACCTTATACAGTAACTATGCACCTTTTGAGGGCAATCAATCACCTAAAATCTCAATAAGAAATACATTACATACTGTAAGTTTGCCAAAAATGAAAAGTAAAAATACCTTTTAAAGGTGCTGTAATCTTCTGGCAAATAAAGATGTTCCTCTATCTCATAATACATTATTTTAATATAAAATGCTCAAGCCTAGCATATCTAATGAGTGCTGACCTTTGTTGGGCATGAAGAAAAATACAGGAAGTATAACGAAGCCCCTCCCAGTAACACCAGCCACCTCCTCCTCTTCGTCCAGAACAGACAGATGAATCCAAACGTGTGGATCAGAGGTTTCAAACTGAATCGTGCCCAGGACATCTGTAGTCACTTGCACACAGTACCTGTAGAAGGTTTTCAGATAGTCAATGGTTTTATTAGTATCAGATGATTATAATTGGCCTGCCCATAATTTCTTAGGATGATGAATACAATCCATCTTCTTACCGACATATATGATTTTCTTTGTTTGGAATGTAATAATCTTGGAATTCCTTCACTGAGAATGTACTAGCAGGAGTTTCACGGGACAGTTTTGGAAGTGGTTCTTTTGTACCAATCAAACGTAGTCGCCACGTGGCTTCACCAGCAGGGATCTGAGGATTGATTGATTCTGCAACAAATGTGTAACCAAGCTGTAACAAAAATAAACAAAAAGTATAATTAAAGCACCAACACATTTATTTTCTGATAAATTGGTAAAATGAAACCCTATATCCACTAACCTTGTTGGGTTTATAATCGTGAGGAAGCACTTTAAGCATTCCAATCTCCTCTCCAGTGTCATTGTTTACAACATGTAAAGAACAATTAGGGATTATAGAAAAAACTACTGGTACCAGTAGCATCTCCTCTGGAACAAAGAACACCTCTCTAGACAAACACAAACAATAAACTGGTCAGCTAGAACTATAATTTCTGTTGATAAATTCAGTTCAATTCAACAAAAAAAAAAACTTTTTTTAATCCATAAAGGGAAAATACATGATGCAGTAACTTATGGGCAGTTATCAAGTTATTATAGATGATGATAGCTGTAGCAATAAGGATCTTATGTAGCAGTCTGTCTTGTATCGGATCTGGATGAGCCTCTTACTGAAGACACTCTGTTGTTAACATCTTTGGAAGAGGATGCTCAATGTTGTCCAATATGTTCTGCACTTTATTAAGAATTCTTTGTGAAATCACCTCCAGAGGTTCCAGACAAGTCCCAAGAAAAGAGCCAGCCTTCTTTAAATCGTTTGCTCTGATGTGAAAAGATCACACTCTCCACCACTTATAGAAGATTTGCAGCATCTTGCTGCAAACACTGAATGACTTAAACTTCCTCAGGAAGTACAGTCTGCTCTGCCCTTTCTTGTGAAGGACATTGTAGTACCGTCTCCAGTCAGGTTTGTTGCCCAGGTGAACACCGATGTATTTATACTCCTCCTTTACTTCTTCTCCCATGATGTTAAAATGATTCATCTAGTCCAGTCCTCAAGAGCTACCATCCTGTAACTTTTAGATGCATCTGTTCTCTAGCACACCTGAATCAAAAGCCTCAATCCCCTCATTTAGCTCAGCAGAGGCACTCATTTGATTCAGATGTGTTAAAAATGGTTGCGTCAAAAAGTTGCAGGATAGTAGCTCTTAAGGACTGGACTTGAGCACCCCTGATCTAGTGCCTGTTTATTTTGAAATCTACAATTATCTCCCTTGTTGGTTGAAATTCAGGATCAGATTATTGTTGCATCTTCAAACAAAGAGTAAGTTTGAAGATGCAACAACAAATTGGTTTATGGCCAGAATCAACTATTTCTTTTGCTTAACTGCCACTTACAACAATTAACAGTTTATTTAGGTTTCGAGAGAGTAAAAGCTAGGGACACTCTTAACGAATAACAAAAGGCTAAACAGAAGACTGCAAGTATATCTGAAAAAAACTCTTGATTGTACTAACAGTTTAGTTTAGGGACTTATTTTCCGGAACATACATATGAACCACAATATTACCTTACATAAAGTGTTAAAGATAGTTGTGTCTTAAGGAGAGTGTAAAAGAGGAACTGTGAATTGATAACTTGGATCAGGAGGAAACTGACTAACTTTCAAATCTAATATTTAAACTATATGTATTCTCTAACCTGAAGACCAAAACCCAGGACTGGGTTGTCTTCTTGAATGAGACGGAGTAATCAGCAAAGGTGATTCTCGCTGATTCATCCTGCAAACAGCATTGGAGTTCTGTAATTTCTCCAGAATTTTCAATGATGTACCTAGACAGGAAAGATATGTTAGAATATTTAAACAATCTGTTTTGATAAAATTATTTTATATAAAGTGTAAAGAAAATTTCTAAAAAATGTATTTTGAAAATTAAATGTTTACATATTAGAATATTGATGAGGAACTATAGCACATGAATGAACAGCTACACTGGAAAAGAGAAGATGCAGTTTTATGCTTTTCAGCATGAAGTGGATGCATATGTCAGCGCATGCTCAAAGGCTGACAACATCCAACAATTGCCCCCTCTGCCCTCCCGAACTTTCAGTCTTCATGCCCATGTATACTTCCTCAGGCAGCGGGTCATGCGACAGACGCTGCAAGCTGATTGGTACAGGGTGAGCATAAACAGCAGATGGTACCACTGGGAAAAGATGGAACACAATGTGGAAAATACTCCCTGCATGGCCCCCACAGGCTGCTACAACCAGGAGAGGAAGTGGACTCTGGGTATGCATTAGAGGAAAATTTCATGACCACATTGCACCAGTATGGGCAAAGAACTAAATCTTGACTGATTCAGTATTCTCTCAATCATTGCTTTTCATGTATAAAAATGCACACAAAAACATACGCTAAGCATTGATGCAAACAGCCATATCCTTGTAATTTGAAAATTGTAATCAGATGAAGTTTTTTTTTTTTTGTTAAATCAGATATACCTTCTTAAGCGTATATAAAGCATACTTTCATTAAGCCCGTATTTGTGTATTTGTTATTGGACTGATGTGATGTTTTGATATTGTAGGAGATCCAAAGTGCTCTTTCACTAACTGTAAACAGAAAATTATCATGATCAAGAGAAAAGGGACCTGAAAAAAATCAATCACTGCATACTTTATCTATGTAATGTGTTTCTCTTAGATAGAGTTATTGAAAATATGAATGTTTCATTAAGATTCAAATCTATTGAGATTAACCATAAAATTGTATTTCTATACCTCATAACAGCTTAACATTTTAAAAATGAGTGTCTTATTTACCGTAGCAAGAAGGCAGCATGTTTGTCTGCATCTGATTCAATCTTTAGCCACATATCTGACAGAGTCTTGGAAGTTCTAGGGTTTTCCTTTGTTCCTGAATCAAAAAGTATACAAACACAAGAGGCAGCTACTAGTTAGGCTTAAAGATGATACATATTTCTGTCAAACATAATAAATCATTATTGATCACAGCATAGTTTAAAGGAGTCATAGCAACTGGAAATGGTATTCAATTTGTCAGATTTTCTTTTAATGTTTTTCCTTTTTCGTTTGTGTCTGTCAGGATGGTATTGTTCTTATTCGTATAACAGTTTATCCTTTTAAAGTTGCTGATTTCTGTCCTTGCTGACCTGACAAAAAGATTCTTGCTCATATGTCTACAATTCATGTTTATATTTTGGATTTGTGTAAAAATATTTAGGTTTTCTTTTTTCTGCAGAACTTTGGAATCCCATCTCTATGCCAGAAAGATGTTTTTGTGACCTCATAGCCAGTGTTAAATAGGGAGAAGATCAAATATCATATTAGCATGTTTCGTTTTTAAAAAGCTTACAGCTTTCTAGAGGCTCACAAAACATTTGAATTTGATTAAATGTTACATTTTTCAGCCTTTTTCACAGTGCAGTTATAGTACTGCAATAAATAATGGGGTGATTTTCATTCTTTTCACATTCTTTTTCTTAACAGGGTCAACAAGTTCCTAGTTTCTGTATAGATAAAGTCACATTTTTGCCAGTATGCTGAATGAATGGGATTTATTACCTACGCAGTGTGTTTAATATTTAGACAGGGCACAACACTATTTCCACCTCAGCATATCTTTGAAGATTCTTTAGAAATATACTGATGATGATGATGATGTGGTTCATGATTTTCTTACACTAATGACATATTATAAACTAGTCATCATAATCTCTTAATCTCACTGTTGTTCCCTTTTTGACTATATGTAGGAGGTAAATAGTCATTTTGAGATTAAAAGGCTCAATATCCTATGGCTGGATGTGCGGACATGGGTTGCTTTACAAACCAAAGAGAGAAATGCAGTGAAAAGATGCACACAGGACAGATGGAAAAAAAAGGAAGAAAAAAGAAGCATGACCATCCAGTTTTATAACCATCATGCAGCTAAGCCTGAGTGTGCATCGGTCTGTCAATGTTAATGGCATATAAACAACCATCAGCGTTTTTCTGGCAGTGCTGGCAGATTCTACGACAATGAAAGCATTTCAGATATTTGGAAGGCTCCAATAGCGTCAGTTTCTTTTTTTCTTTAAAAGCGATACCTCATAGAAGCAACTATTGTGTTGTTTTGAGACTGTCACACATAATGCCTGGAGTTGCCAAAACAAGCCTGCAGCAATTGAAATGAAATCAAATGTCACCTCCAGAGTTTCTTCATCAATCTGCAGAAGCGTGGTACCTCATATTCAACTTCTACTGGCTTTGATTGTAACATCTTATTTGGATCAAACTACATAGTATGCAATATGAAAATGTTATATGAATGTCACTGCATGATTGCAATCTAATGGAATGAGGTGGACTGATATAAACTAAATATTGACTAGTGAGATTAGCAACATGTAGCTCTGGTAGTAAGTATTTGGATTATTTAGTATGTCTATGGTATAATATCGAAATTTAGACAATTTACTGATTAAATTGTTATTAATTGCCTTAAAATGAAATTCAGCAGTTTACATGCAAAGTTGAACTAAGGAGGCATATTCATTTACAGGAGAGCTGAGAAAATGAAGAAACAATTACTGTAACTAGTTCATTGTTTTGTCTTGAAATTATATTTAATAAGTTATTATTGACCAGATTGTGTGAAGTTGTCTGTACCTGTGTGTTCTCTTGACACTTCTTTTTCTATTTTCTTTCCTTGTCTTTGCTTCTTTGCTTAGTTTAAAAAATAAGATACATTTAAACATTACATGAAATTGTATGCTTTTCTGCATTTGTTGCATGTTTTTCCACTACTTATGTACATGTTTACCAGTTTTTGAGACATTAGGCATCCCTTCCTCCAAGTGCCCTTCAGATTCAGCTTGCAGAATGATGTCTGCCTGGTTTGTCCCTTCGTGCTTTGGCTCCCTGTCTTCCCATATTTCTGATGGATTTGTATCTGCTACAACAGAACAGAATGAGAAAAAATGAATAAAGTGAAAATATCAGATATTTATAAATCTAATTGATTAAAGAGTAAGTCAATTATTAAATTATGCAATATTCTGAAATCAGTCTTAATCAATAACTTATAGTTTCTGTCTGATTTTAAAGCAACACTATAACTCTTACTCACTGGGGGGCTTGATCTACAACTTAGCAACACTGAATTCTACTGGCATCACTGCACTATCACAACATTTAACAGTCTACCTTGGAGTTATGGAATCTAATAGCAGACCACTTTAGACCAGTAGACTGTGAGCTCATGGAGATTATTGTAAAGACAAGGCCACATTAACCCTTCTAAATAAATCCTAAATCAATAAATGAATAGTCTGGTCAGGTGAGCATTAAATTGCTTAACAACAACTTCTAACTTAGCTGTTACCTTAAGCGGAGCTCAGGCTGCCTGCCTTAAGGTGGCACTTAAGCTCACATAATATGTACTTGAAAAATAATTTAAAATATTTCAAATTAAGCTAATACTTGGGTCAAAAGTTATGCAGTGTTTCTTTAAACAAAGGAAATAAAATATTTCTGTAAGTGGATTCAAATTTAAACAGTTGTTAAAGAAATAAGCATCAGGGCTGCAAGCTAATTGTGAAATACCGACATATGCTGAATCTGTTGTATTTGTTAACATGTAGATGAAACCTGTAGCATGTGATTCTTCGAGGTCCGAGGTCAAGGGTGAGGGGTCACCAGTAAGGCCTTGAAGTGCAAAGTGCTCCTCTGATGTAAGCTTTCTGCCCATGGCCTCACAAGCCATGTGGTAAACTGCTGAGTTAAAAACCTTTGTTTTCAGGACACACACACACAAACACACACACACACACACACAATCACACAGAGATACAGAATAAATGCATACATGTGTAAATCTTAAAATAAGTGCATCTTAAAATAAAACCCAAAAACACTTTTCAAGAATATGCTATTCTTACATACAAATGTTTGTGTACATGTAAAAGCAACTCATAATGGCCTCTGTTTATTAATTATTAAACCTTGGTACATCTAATATTTTTTTAATCTAATTTCTTATTTCACATTGTTTATTAGTCTTGCAGTAGAGAAAAGGTATTCAACTATGCAGACGGCACTTTATTTTCTTTGCAATGTAAAAGAACATGATGGCATAATGTCCAGCTCTGCTCTGGCTATACAAAGCTTGTCTCACTAATTTAAACCCTGCAGAAAGGATGTGATGGTCTGCACATCTCATGGTCTCAAAACAATTACTGCAAGGTAGAGAAATCATATAATGCTTTGAATAAAAAAACGGAGAAACTGTTTAGTTTGTTATGAGAACAATTATTTGTATCCCAAACATTCCATAACAGGATAAACAACTTCTCTCCCTAATAGCCTTGCAGCTCTGAGGCCAGAATGAATAAAACTACTATTGCTAATTGTGTTTTCACACTTGGGCTACTATTTACATACAGTATATACTCCAAAGAAAAGATAATTTTCTACATTGCATTATATCAATACCACATTATGATCACAACTTACCTTTTGGCATTTCAATTTATCTGTCTTGGAGCAGATGTTATGGAGAAAAAGAGTCTTTTCCAGAGTCTCTCTAAATGATGGCAGCTTCTCCTCATCACTGAAGGATGCAACCATGCTGGACAAGGCCTTAAATATGGTCGAGGCTTGCACAGTGAAGAGAGCTCTTTCCTGTTAAGAAAGGATCGAAGTATATGTTTTTATTTACTAATGCCAGATAAAAAGAATGAAACTAAAATTGTTGCAGATGGTTGCAAAAATGCAATGGAAAAATAGAAGTGTGACCTGTGAACCAAATTTTATGCAACAGAGACAGATCTACACTGCAAAAACAATCCAGAAATAAGTAAAAAATGGCTTAAATTAAGTATATTTAGCCTTAATTTGAGCAGGTAAATAAGATGATTTGCCAATGGAATGAGTATTTTCACTCTTAAAATAAGATAGTTAGATAATATTTACTTGAAATAAGACGATAAAATATTTTTTTCTTATTTTAAAAGGAAATTGTCTTGTTCCATTGGCAAAGTGTCTTACTTATCTCCTCAAATCAAGGAAAAACACACTTATTTTAAGAAAAAATAACTTATTGAGATTTATATTTTTTGCAGTGTAAAATCTAAGAAAATACAGGGGCCCCCAACAAAGGGGTTTATTTTCAAGAGTTTCTCGTTTCCTGAATTTCCATACATAGATACAGCAAAGTACATTGCTGTAACTGAATATTCTACCTTTTGGTTGTAAGGTTCACTATGTTTTTTTAAATCTTTCCACCTCATACATTTTTCCGACACAATAAACAGATCAATTTCAAGTTAGCTGGATTTTTCCAGCATAACACAAATAAAAAGATTTTTGTTTAGAATCCCAGCTTTTGTACACTAGAATCACTAATAATTGTTAAAAGTTCTTAGTAACCTTTTCAAGATGGGGCATAATGGCTTCTTCATCTCCTATGATAAAATACGTCTCGCTGCACAGGTGGATGTCGTAGCCTTGAGTCCCATGTGCATGGAGGCAGAATAAATGACGCCTGGGAAAGAAGAGAGTTGACAAAAAGATTTTTTGTTGAAAAGATTTGAAACACAGACCATTTACTAAAATTAAATCCAGTTCAGTTTATTTATATAGCGCCAATTCACAACACATATCATCTCAAGGCTCATTACAGAGCCAATTCAACCAGATCATACAGTGAGATTGATTCAAAGTTTTCTATGTAAGAAAACTAGCTGATAGCATCTACTCATTGACTCCAAAGGCAATCCCTCACACCAAACATGCTTGTAGCAACAGTGGAGAGGAAAAACTCCCTTTGGACAGAAAGAAACCTCCAGCAGAACCAGGTTAAGTATGAGCGGCCATCTGCCAAAGCCAACTTGGGTTCAAAGAGACAGAAGCCGACATACAGAAAGAAGAGGAGATACAAAAGGAGGCAGAGGTACAAAAAAAATTTAACTGTAAATTGATAAAATATGAAGACTTGTCCTTCAGTACGATAAATTAAATAAAATCAAAGCAGGCATCGTTCACAATCAGATAGAATATAGAAATAACCACATTAAATGTCTTTCTCAAAATAAAAAAACTAAGCAAATAACAAAAAAATCCAACAACTTGTGAAGATCTTGAAACATTGGGCTGGTTTAAGTGTTTTTTTTTATTCATTTTTGTCTTTATATAGTCAAATTAATACAATAATATTCTCGTAGCAATTCCAAATTTTCCAGTGGTTACAAGGAGCCCATTAATAAATAAGTTGAGGCTTAAATCTTGGCTACAACTATGCTTTTCAGTCCATCACAGGGAAACAGTGAGACATACAGGTAAAACAACTGTTCCTAAGGGGGGCTTTTAAGGCAAGATAATCGTAACAACTGAAACATAATATTTAAAGGTAGGATCATAATCCTAACTATTTGACTGCAACGAAATTTTGAGGTGAATTTCCCCACTTGAAACATGGAGCCTATGCTGAAGTTCAACTGAATAAACTGATGCCTTCATCTGCCTATAACACAGCCAATCAGCTTTGAGCCACGCCTTCTCAAAAGCCAATCAGCATCAAGTTAATCTTAAAAGGCCTCCAATTCGCAACTCGGCTGCTACCTAGTGCGCAGGTGGTGCGCTTTAAGACCTTATGCAGATGACCCCGTTTCAACCTAACCTCCAGTCCCTCCTCCACCGTTGTAGCTAAAATTTCATCAGTTTCATTACTCCTGGACTCTTATTGCATTCTGCGTCTCATTTCAACCGGTCCAACAAAAGACCGCTATGTTGAGCTTGGTTCTGCCAGAGGTTTCTTCCAATGGGAAGTTTTTACTCTCCACTGTCGCTTCATGCTTACTCATAATGGACAGGGTTACTCAACGTGTGTTATCAAACTGGACTTCCATCTACTGTATATGCCATCAGTCTACAGACTGACCAACTTCATCTATCTCCACTCCACCCCCAGTTTCAGGCCTAGGGGGCAACAGCCCTATTCTTTGCTCCTGTTCATGCATATCAATCAAAATTCAGTGCTATGTTTCCTGCCGAGGTCTGAGTTCCAAAGACAAAGTAATTGTATCAAGAAATTTCTCCTAATTGTCTTTTCTCTTTGTTAGAGTTTTTCACCTTGAAATGCCAACTACTGTGTAGCCTGTGTAATTTTTTACTTATTTATAAGGTCTGTGCATCTCTGTAATACAAGTGCAATAAAGTCAACTACTGTGTAGTCTGTATAATTTGTACTTGTTCATATGGTCAGTACACTTCTGCAGTGCAAGTGCAATAATCCAAGTCAACTACTGTGTAGTTTTTCCTCAGCTCTCTACTGTGCAGATATTTTTTTTTACCTAAAGGAAACATATTCTAGGACATTATAACTTAATCTTTTGTACTGTATACAATCTTTTTATATTGTCTGTTGTATTTTTAATGGCATCTTGCTTGTATCAATAAATTTCTTCTAATTGTCTTTTCTCTCCGTGTGATTTTTGCAGATTGAAATCGTAAAACTATTTTATTTCCACTCATCAAAGAGGATAAAACTAAGCTTTTTCTTTTATTCCATCAGAGATACATAGAGAATGGCAACACAAGTCTGCTACATCTGTACGCAAAATGCATACAGATGCTTGTTGGTTAGAAGTAAATATATAAAAAGAAATATATATTTTAATTTAATAAACTAATTTAACCATTACATTGTTCAATTTGCAGTCTTACATATTTTTTGTAATGAACTAGTAACTCTATTCTTGAATTCATCCCCCATATTTAAGACAGATTTACTGCTTTCTTTGAAATGTTACCATTTGTCTGTCTATCAAATGACTGGCTACAGTATATTCCTGGGTTAAATATAAGGGATTCTATTACTATAGGCCTATTACTATAGTTTCAAAAAAATTCATCCATCATAAGTGAATTGGTAAGCAGGGGAGCAGTGCTTGAAATAGACTGAAGAAGCAGAAGAAAAAAAATAGAACAAGGGAAAGGCATAAAGAACTCAAGAAAAAAAAAGATTAACAGAGATGTGTGATGACACAAAACTATCATAAAAGAGCATAATAACAGTTCACCAGAGAGAAAGTATTATGGGACACTGTCAATTGAGTGTTGGGTGAGATTATGGCTCAGTGGTAATTACAATGTTGCACACTTGCACCTGACCCCAGAAACTAGGACCTCTCCTTCTAGGTCAAACTAATGCCATTAATAGAGACTGGGACAGATACGTTTTGCTGCTTTTGAGGACAACCATGATGGGCAGGTGCTTGCATGATGGCAGATTTCTCAATGGCTCTAAACACCCAAAAGAGCAAAATGCTTATTTAACATTTTCATTAAAACTTCAAAAAAGAGGTAATAGATGTTGATTCTGTGTTAATGTTTGTAGAGTGTGTTAACCATACTATATATTTTTTAAGTAAAACATTATGTAAAATATTAAAGTGCAAGTGTGTAGTAAATCCAGTACTTGATATGTAATACTATTTAGAGACAGCCTGAGCTTTTATGCTCATCAACACAGTTCAAATTTCTCACAGTTTCAGCAATTCGATCCTACCCTGCTGGTAAGCTAAGCATGGCTGCCTTTGAGTAGGTGGTCTTGATGGTGAGAACTGGAAGCTGAGACTGCATGCTTGTCCAGGAGTGAGGTTGAATAAGTAGCACTCCAGATCTGGATACTCCAGACAATTGTTTCTCCATATCAGATGCTGTAATGGGAAGGAATAAAAGTACATTAGTTCTACAATTTAATGTAATTCTCAGTAAAAAAATGGAAAATGTAGGTCAGAGCACACAAAATGATTTATGGCTCAGAAACTGCACAGAAAATTATTTAGTGTGTGTTTGCATGCAAACTCTCTTACTCTTCTCACCAATTCCTCCCCAAAGGAGGGCAGAAAAACTGATGAGGATCTGGGAAGGTTGCAGAGATACGACATATAGATAGTGAGTCCCTCTCACCTCTGCACACTGTGCCAAGAAACACACATAAAAAAACAGAAACTGTAAATACTGCTTCATAATTGGAAGAAGAAAAAAAGCAAGGAAAATCTGTGAGGGAGAAAATAATTTTGATGTTCACTGTATGGGAAGTATTATATGTTTGCATATGTACCTCAGCACTTGCTACATCCACAGATCTGTTAAAAAGACACTGATTAGATGATCCAAAGCCATTGTTTCCTCCAATATCTTTTTGCAGGACAGTGGTCTGATAATAAAAGAAGTTAGGTAACAATGCAATAATCAATTTTAATGTATTATTCAAATCACAAACATATACAATAATGCTAAGAGACAATTGTGAACACACTCATTGGAAAGCTGCAGATATTAATAACTTCTTATGATGCATTTTTTACCTTGAAATGTGATTTATGAATATGATTACTATACATCTGGGGTTTATGAAAGACCAACAAAGTCCTAAAGAAAAATGAAAAAGAAGTGTTTATTTTTCTTCTGCTTAAGCCTGGCCTTAATGAACAGTAATAGCTTTAATTTGCATTTGTTTCTCACTGAAAACATTTTGCAAAGTCATCCATGTCCAGCCATGTCCTCAGTAGGGGTCTAGCATCATTGGCTCGAGTTTCTGATGTCGCAGTTGTTGGTTGACCTGGAAGGAAGTAAAGTGAACTAAGGTCGGTAAGAAAACCACATATATTTTTGGATATCTTTGGAGCACCCTTTTCGGGTGGATCGGTTGTGTTTTAAATCATTATATAACAACAAAATAATGTCCTTTTCAGGTTTATTGCTAACTGAATTGAGTGGCGTGTTTAATGCCAAAGTAAAATCTCAAGTCCTGAAATGTTGCAAGTAAATAAATATGTGTGACTCATACTGTAAGTTATCCTAGATTCAAAACCTTATAGCGGGTTTAACAGTCCAAACTCCCACATAATGGCACAGTGTAAGCGCACGTCCATACTCCCACTCAAACTCCCACATTCTCTGTGCATCCTGTGCATAGTCACAGACATATGCACACACAGGCTCCATCTCCAAAAGATACACACCGAGTCTAACCCTATGCTCTACTTGAAACAAGATTCTGATAAGGAAGCTGAGGCGATGAGGGCAAGCATCTCCGCTTCTGAGCAATGGTGGTCTGCTAACTCAAGCTGCAGGTGTTACTAAGCAACTAAAAGGGGGCAGAGAGGAGGCAGTGATGTCACAGGCTGAAATTTCAGACCGTTTTCAAATGTTCATTTCGCCCACAGAGAAGAAGAAGAAGAAGAAGAAGAAAGAAGGATCCAAATATTTCTATACACAATAACTAGGCTGAAATGCACTGATACTTTTAAAGACATTGATTAAAATGACTTTGGATGAGGTGTAAACAAAGATCATTTTCCATTTCTTCAATTTAAATATGTTACTACTAAAAGGGCAGTTTTTTTCACACAGATATTCATTTTAGGTTCTGAAAATGCTGCATGGAAATAGCTTTTACCTTCAGAGAAATGATCATTGTCCTTTATCGTGTCCTCTGCTGTAACCTAGAGGGATAATCAGAGAGAGAGAAAAGAAAATGTGTGAGAAGCATGAACTGTGGGATGCTGACAGAGTACCACTGCGAGAGATATGCCTCTACCCTCTAGTTATTCCATGCCAGCTGTGGTGTTGTGCCATTCTCACCCGACACAGAGACACAGTTAAATGTGACAGGGGCTGCCCCGCCCTACTAAAAACACCACCAGGGAATACCAGCTCTAATTTACTTTGAATGCAAGTGACAGAGGAGGAGTTGTTCTGTTGTTTAGTTTGTTATTCCTTTAAGAGATGATTCACACAGTAGCTCTGATTCCCTGTCTGTCTATCCAGCCTATTAAAGACAGAGCTAACGAGTCATAATCATATACTTAAAAATAACACACTTTTTGCTACAGCTATTTTTCCCCTTCTTTCCGCTTCTTATTTAGATGGCTGCATTTTCATGGAGGCATTTTTGTATTGAGAAAAGAAAGTGAGAGATATTAAAGACATTAAGGATAAAGGCTTGAATCTGGATGGACTTCTAATAAAATAGGCTTGTTTCCTCAGTTCGATTATCTGGATAAAAAAATGTTTTGTCATTTCATTTTTTTCATATTTCACACTTCTCACTCATTACACTTTCAACCACCAACTGACATGTATTTCACTATAATTTTGCACATTAGGCTGAGACAAAGTAGTCCATAACGGCAAAGAAGAAAGACATATGCTGCAATTTAATGTTCAAACCTTTTGGGATATAACACACCCAGTCTGTTGTGTATGTTTACTTTAAAGGGTGAAGTTTAAGCTTAGTTAGACTGGATTAGGCGAGTCTGTGATTCATAGTGATTCTTAATTGCATTCTAGAATAAAATTTGACCTTAACGCATTATATCAAAAGTTGTTTTCTTGCTAGGTGGTGAATCTCTACTTCAGTCTGATTCTATGTTTCCCTCAACAGGTTTTGTCCCGTAAATACCATGTAATTAGCTCCACTGGTATTTCCATCAACTCTGACCATTATCGGTGTATCATCATGCTGCCACTACCATATTTCATAAGTAGAATAGCTTTATTTGTCACCCAGCTTGATGCAGCAGTCCAGTATGGTGAAAATTAAAGTTCTATTTTATTCTTACCAAAGCTCATTCTTCCACGTTTGGTGTTTACAGCATGGCTTGTAAAAACATGTAAAGGACCTCTTAAGGTTCTCTTTCAGCATTGGCTGCTGCCCTTTAAAGACCAGATTTGAAAAAAAAAAAAAAAAACTAATAGTCTTGTCAGTAAAATGTCCCATTCAAGATGTCGATTTCTTTGGTAATAATCTGAGAAACTGCTTGTTTCTCAGATTAGTGTTGTTTGCCAGAGAAGCCTGGCTTTTGAATGTAATCAAGTGCACATTCTTTCATTTAGATTGTCCAATTAAACAAACATAGATTTTGGAAATACCCAATCAAAGTATTATTTCTTTGTGTCATTTTCTTCTTACTTCACAATTATACGCTGCTTTACGGTTGTCTATCATGTTAGATACACTAAACAAGGACTTTCTGATTGTAAATGATAGAACAGGAAAGATTTCAAGGATTATTTGGTCCCTTTCAAAAATATATTTTTTAGTGCAGAGCAACAAGAGGAATTTTGTTCTGAATAGGCACTAAGAAAAGTTAACCAAACAAGGTAAATTTAAATTATAAAGAAGGTGATTGTTCCAAAAACGTGCATTACTGACAATCACAGCCAAGTGGAGGAAGATGTGCACGTCTCAGTAATCTAAACCTCCCTCCTTTCATATGAAGTCTGTGTCAAACACAGTCCCTTGAGGAACCAATTTGGTGAATGTCCAAGGGTTTACTCAGCTCTGAACAAGAATGATCATTTTGTATTGTGTAGCTTCAAAGTAACTCCAGCCAAGACTCTCTGACTCAGAGAGGCACAGTGTGTCTGCTGCTGCATGTGAGTCACCACTTATTCAAATAAGTACCCAGAGATTCAGACAGACGGAAAGAGACATTGTGATCGGGAGGCACACTTGACCTCCTCTCTACCGCTATAAAAGAGCTTTGCTTCAACAAAAATGTCAATATGTACATGTCTGTGTGTTTGTTGGCAGGCATATAAAACTTTAAGTCAAGCTCCAAGTCATGCAATGTTTTCTGTACCCACATACTACTCTATGCCTCTGTGTGGGGGAGATGTGAAAATGAGACTGGAAAGTGTTGATGTTGGTATCAGAGATTACAAGACAAAAGAAGATTGAAAAGTTAAAACCTGAAGTTATATACGTTTTGGTTATGTAGAAGTAGAAGTAGAAGCAGGGAGTTTATATCACACTGCAAAAAATCTAAATCTAGATAAGTAATTTTTTTTTAAATAAGTGCATTTGTTCTTGAATTGAGGAGGTAAAAGAGACATTTTGCCAGTGGAACAAGACAATTTACATTTAAAATAAGAAAACACAATTGCATTGTCTTATTTCAAGTGCATATTATCTAATTATCTTATTTAAGAGTAAAATTACTCATTCCATTGGCAAACTATCTCATTTACCTACTCAAATTAAGGGTGAATACACTTAATTTAAGAAATTTTTACTTATTTCTAGATTGTTTTTGCAGTGCATGGTCTAGTTATTTGAACTCCACCCCAACAGAGGGAATATGCCGGTGTGTGTATTGATGATGTCATGAGACCTCGCCGGAGTCAGTGACAGAGCTCAATTCTATTGGCTAAGGTCAATAAACGGAGAAAAAAAAAAAAACATGCCAAGGATCTCTGCTTGTTTGATCCACTGTCTCGGCTTGTGACCCACCATGTGATCACCACAGAAAGTGTCACACATCCGACACATGCAAACCAATCTGAGAAGTCTGAATACACAAATCCAATTAGCATGCCAGCACTGCTCTAACCTATCCACTCTATAGCTGCTCAAAGTTACACAAGAGGACAGCTAATATGAATGCTATTTTTTCCTGTGTATGCTAGGACTGAAGTGTAATAATGAAGCCCCCCAGAGACATAGACACTGATGGCTCACCATCTAATTGCACATCTTTTTTTAATCAGCATAGTACATGACCTCTCCCTGTATGAAACCCATGTGGTCTGTTCACCAGCACTACCACTCAACAGAGACTCTATTCGTGTTTGGCCTTTACATCACCCATGGAACTATCCCTTTCTTTTCATTTTTCATTCCCTTCTCATATCTTGTTTTATGGCAGTAGTTGCCCCTCTGTGCTCCTTTCCATCTTTGCTTCTGTCTTCATCTCCGCTTCCATCTTCTGCTCTGAATGCTAGCCTCCAGTATTTCTCTTTCTGAGCTGGTTCTTTCTTTAGTACAAACACGCCCCTGGTTAGTAGCGGCCTGAGCGGCAGATAACAGAAGTGACTTTGAGAATGGGGGATGGCAGCGGAGCTGTCACCAAGCCTTACTGATCAGCCTAAGCCAAATGGAAGTGTAAGAACACAGTAATAAAAGAATGTAATGAATAACAAAATGTAGCATTTTTAACAACGCTGAAATAGAAAGGCCTTAAAGATCATATAAGATGATTATGCCATCTGCATATTCTCTAAACAACTACTGTATGTTTCACTTGTTAAACTAGCTGATGTTAGATGTACAATATATATTAAAAGCAAACCTGTGCAGACAGAAATTCTGAGTACCTTCAGTTCATCCGTGGCATTTGGTTCAGCTACATCAAGCTCAAGGCTCTCTGTCTCCTCTGTCTCCGAAATCAACACCAAAGGGGATCCATGGAAACCCTTCATTTCAGTGCTCTGCTTGGTCTCTCTACTAAACAAAGATATATAATCATTACAGTATAATAAATCCTGTTACCCAGCTAACAGTAATCAATATTAAGCTTTAAAGCTACTCTAACGAGGGAAGATTTCAAACAGTACATTTTACTTGATCTGCCTACTCATTGATAAAACCATTTTGCACAGAAGAATAATAGTATTGTTCATATGTAAATTATAAACATTTTAAATTAATTTTTTAAATAATTATTAAGTAATATTCCATTACCATGTGATGAGAAAATAAGAAGAATTAGCTTTTTCAGCATATGCTAATTCTTCTTTTTAGAGTAAGGTATTAAAATAATTTTAATATTTTCTTCTACTCAGTTGTAACAAGTTAAAAGCGAAAATACAAGAAAATACCATTTTGCAAAAAAAAATTAATAAACTAAAGAAGAAAAAACATGAACTTTATAGAAAATGTGACACATTTTAGGCACTTACAGTTCTGGGATACAGCCTTCTCTGCTTATAAAACTGTCAAACAGAAAAGGGCTGGCAACCTCAATGAATTGTTGTGGTTTTGGCAACTGCGGCTCTACAGAGAAAAAAGCAAAAGTTGTGTATATATATTATATATATATATATATATATATATATATATATATATATATATATATATATATATATATATATATATATATATATATATATATATATATATATATTTCAATGTTGATATGAAAATATAAGTACACGATCTAAATTTGAAAAATACCTTTGTAAAAAAATACCTATCTATCTATAAATATATGTATATATACGTATATCTATATATATATATATATATATATAAGTATATATATATATATATAAGTATATATATATATATATATATATATATATATATATGTAGGGTTTTTTTCTCTCTTTTTTTGTTTTACTTCGGGGTTCAGATGAAATCACTGTCTTCTTGCGTGGACGGATGAGCTTCCATTGGGGCACAGTCAAGGGTTTGGGAGTGGAATGCAGTTGACACGTTCGGGTTCTGGTCAGCAGGACAACATGGCTATGTAGCATTGACAAGCCATAGTGACGTAAAAGTTCTTGGGAATTTGCCTGCATGATCATATATATTGGGTGCAGAGACATAAAAACGTGAAGTAATCAGAAAAAGTTAATACTTAATACTAATAAAAAAAGTATTTGTCTCATATAGATTTCCTTTTTGTCATAGATCATTAAGCAAATGTTATTATTAAACGAAACCAAGCCCAGGAAGACATATGTTACAAAAATTGCTTTTAGCTGTAAAAAAGCTATTCAAATCATATTAGCAAAAAAGTAATTGCCAGTTAAATCTGAATAAGTGGTTGTAGAAGCCCTGGAAGAAAAATAAACCATAACAAGATGCAATTCATAATGTATACATTTGTAAATTAATCCTTATGCATTCTAATTAGACTAAAAATGAAATATGAATAACAATTAATTCATATAGATTCATCTATTTAGTTTTTTTCCAACCAATTCTCGGTTAGGAAAAAAAAGAAAATAAAAACAAAAGCCTACGTGGTGAGAAAGAAAAGAACACGGGAGAAATAAATACCGTTTGAAGACGCCCAAAACTGTTTTGCTGTTGAAAAGGATAGAAGCTGGCACAAACTGCCACTTTTAGGGCATCTGTAAAAAATACAGAGAAAAAAAGATAAACTACAACCTAGCTTAGTGCATCTAGAGATTTAACTACAAAAGGGAAGATGGAATAGACAACAAGAAATATATTAAACTTATTATAAAGGCACATCCAAAATTAAAATTCTGAAATTATTCTATCTGATTTTTTTGGGGATCTTAATATAGCAGTGCACATCAGTGGCACTTACAAAGAAGGGCTTTTTTTTATATTTGATTAAACAGCACAACACCATTAATCTTCAATATTAAGTTAATATTAAAAAGTCAAAGTCCCTTAGCACTCTACAAAGGTATTTAACTCTATTAACCTTTTCATATTTTTTTCATGGTTAAAAAAACACAGGCCTCTTTACATTTTTTTGGAACTGCATCTAATAGTTAAACAAAAATAATCTAATAAATTGAAAGTGGAGATAAAATGTTTTAGGGGGTTTTACATTATCAATAGTTAAATGTATAAAAGTTTTTTTTGTAACTGAGACGTGTAGAAGTACTAATTAAAGTTCACCATGTATTGAACACAGGATTTGCAAGAAGCTGTCTGGTTATTTTTCTAAAAACTTTGGTTATGGTATTTAAAAATGAGTGGGAAGACAGGAGACAAAAAAGCAGTCAGTAGCTAAACATCACAGAAATAAACAGGTTTATACCACTTGTCAGCTGAAAATTGCAAGGTAACACACCATACAAAAAAGTGCTGTATGTTTTCATCCAATTTTCTGAGTTCTATTTCACAATCGACCAAGTAGTTTGGACAAAGCAAATATATCATAAAGTCTTTATAGATTACCTTCAGATTCATTCGGATACATACAGTATTTCTCAGGATTTTGTATTTCTTTCTGAATGGGAAAAATAACCACCCTTGAGATGGGAGGCTCTTTTGCCCCGGAGGACCAGACTATTCAACCTACTACTGCTTCCTCTGCTGGTTTATTTATGATCAAAAATACTTGCATACATTAACCCTCCCTGCACTCCATAATACATTAACTCATGAAAAAAAGCGATGCTGGACACTGAAACAAAAAAAAAGCATAAAAAAAAGACCCAACATGATTTGGTAATTAAATCTACAATTGCAGAAAAATACTTTGACCTTCGGGAGTTGTATTGTTCACAACAAATATTGTACAACTTTAATATATTAAAGTGAACAATAACAGAAAAATAATTAAGCTATGTTTCTATAGACCCTAAAGGAGAAGATCTCAAGCAAAAAAATAGCAAAGACTAGCGTGTGTATAATTAGATGCTTGATTGACTAACTAATGTAAAGGAGCAAAGGCACAAAATGTATGATGCTGTGACAGCACTGTGTGGGTCTAATTATGGAACAATCTGGACCTTTGCTGTTATCTGTCTCCAGCAGCAGACTCTTATTGTCATTTAGATGGAAAACTGTCCCTCCAGCTGGATCTTCAATGTCAGTCTTCATCGCTGCCAAACTCTCATCCTCGTGTTTAAATTTAGGAATGGTGTCTTGAAGGAAATCCCATATTTTTTTCGAGTGCCCTGGCCTGAGAGGGAAGGACGACAGAATTTATTTTAGACAAATCACTTTGTGAAAAGGATTAATGTGAAATTGAAAATATTCTATGCAGTTATCTAAAATGTATGTTTTTTTTTGTATGTTTTTATCTTTATACTGATTGATGCAGTTCAACTAGAATTGTGATAAATAAAGTTAGAACAAAAAATCCTACCACTGGTTAGTGGCTAACAGTTAGCCGCTGACTTAACATAGCTGGGTCTGCAGATAAGCTACTCCAAAACCAAAGAGGATTATTTATAATGAATTTGCAATCAACAAAAATCTTACATTATAGGGCTTATTACAGGTGTCCAGCCAGTGAGGGCATGGATAAAGGAAAATTCACCCATTTCTTCTCCATCCTGGAAAGTAGGGCTGGGGGGCATAGAAAGTCATTAAAATCATGTAAAATATAGTAAGTCCATTAAAAGCAACATACAGTTGGAACTTTTTTTTTTCTTTTTTCGGTTAGTTGGGATTAAGTGAGATCTCCATTTGATAAATGAAAGACAAATGTATGACATATTAACTTTAAACATTATATAAGCTTTTATATATATTTCCCATAAGTTATCATACACCTTTTCAATAGTTTCCTTTTAATAGTATGACTTGGGTTAAACACTTTAGTTAAACATTGATAAGTCTTAATTTTTTGATAGATTTGATACATTTTTTGTGTGATGTTTTGACATTTGGTGTTATGACTAGGGTTATGTATAAAACTGAAAAGTTAATGCTTCATTAGTGCAGGTTTATGCATTTCAAATGGTCATTTGTAAAAATTAAAAGTAATAAAATGAATGTCTGCTACTGTTGTTTCAGAGATCCATTCCATCCATCCATTTTCCATCATACTTATCCCGGCTGGGGTGGGAGGGGTGCTGGTATCTATCTCCCACTGTCTATGAGCAAGATGTGGAGTATTGCAGGACAACACAGAGACAAACAGGACATACAACCATTCACGCACACACTCACACCTAAGGAGCATTTAGAGAAGCCAATTAACCTGACAGTCAGGTTTTTGGACTGTAGGAGGAAGCCGGAAAACCTGCAGAGACCCACGCATGCTCAGGGAGAACATACAACCATGCAGAAAGACCCTAGGCTAGGAATAGAACCCGGAACTTTCTTGCTGCAAGACAGCAGTGCTACCCACTTTTTCAGTGCTAATTGATTTATGCAGGTAAAACTGTCGTTTGTGCTGATTTGTTTTTAACATTTTTATTTATGATGACATCGCATCCAAGCAGACGCTTCTGATATAAAGTTATTATAAATAGATATAAAAAGTGCACTTGTGATATAAAAATATTTCATTCACATGTCATTCCTGAGCTGTGAATAAATATAAAAGAGGGCATATTTAACTTAATTAGTGGCTGGAATGATTGTTTAATGTTAAGTAAATCACCAGCCTCCCAGACCCTTCACTTTGGACCTGCTGTTACACCTTCCAACCCATAGCATTTCCTGTCAAGGTCTCGCTGTCTGCATACACAATAACAGCCAGGTGAAATTTAACATTACAGACTAATGCTAAATTGTTTTCTATGAACAGCTTTTGAATCACATGAAGAAGAACATTAATTTTTGGAAAAGCCCCAAAAGTATTGAAAAAAAGAGTCAGTGGGACTTCCTTATAAATCTACCCATGCAAAGAGCTCAGATGCTGGGCAGTATCGGGGAGGTGGCTCTGTGCTGGAGGTAAGTGAGGATGATTAACAGTCCTTATAGGACTAAATTAAAGCCACCTAAAAATCTCTTGAGCACTACCTTTGTTAAGATTATTTTCTCTGTATTCCATTTTAAGTGAATAGGGCTTTTTGTTGTCAGCACATTCAACTTTGTAAAGAACAAAGTATTCATTTAGAATGTGCAAGTCATTCAGATCTAGGATGTTTTATTTGAGTTTTACCTTTATTTATTTTTTTAGCAGTACATATATATATATATATATATATTAGTGCTGTCAAAATTATCGCGTTATTATCGCGTTAACGCGAGGCCATTTTAATGGCGATAATTTTTTTAACGTGAGATTAACGCTATGTGGTTTTATGGTACAATTTTCCAAGTACATCCCGCTGCAGCCTGCGGGAAGGCGGGGCTATTTTCCCCCAGTCTATGCATTTTCCATAGGCTTCGAGAGCGGATTTCCTCAAGGAAAAAAGACGCTCATACACTGGGTAGCGCTAGTGCCTTTTCTTTAAGCCCCACCACCAACAAACAAGTTGAGTGTCTGGTAACTAGTAGCAACCTGAAATACGCTGAGAAAACAGATTACTGAGGTGAAATGGAATCTGCTACGGCACTCTTGCTGTCTGTGTATGCCACAGGTCACTATCGTGTGTGGTTGTGTGTGTGGTTGTGTGTGTGTGTGTGGTTGTGTGTGTGTGTGTGTGTGTGTGTGTGTGTGTGTGGGTGTGTGTGTGTTCTCATTTTTGTTAAGAGGCTGAAAAGTAACTTTCTAGAGCATAGACTTCCTCCATCTAGTGATGTCGGTCTATTGATTTTGATGTATTGATTGAAAATTGTTCATTATTACCTTGGTTAATTGACATCTAATGTTAACTCTACTTCATTTTATAGCAGTAGGGTAAAATGCTTGTCTTTGTTCAAAAGACTGTATTAACTGTAAAGACTGTGTTTTACATCAGCCTGTTTTCAGGGCCTTTATTTTGGCTACATATTTGTTATTTTTTGCTACATGCCTCCCCATCTTCTTGCCATATGTTTCTATGGCATAAATCAGTGTCTGTGACCTGTTTTCATTTAAAAAAAGAACATTGGCACAAACCTAGCCTGTATGTATTTTTTGTATGTCATCGAGAGTATTTAAATTATTTTCAATCAGAAAAAAAATGTGTGATTAAAATGCGATTAATCGCGAGTTAACTTAGGCATTGATGCGATTAATCGCGATTAAAAATTTTTTATCAATTGACAGCACTAATCCAACACTGTTATAATTCAGGCTCCAACCTAATCTTTATGGAATAATCTCCATTTATTCAGTTTTACTAAGATTTTTCATGGAATTGCTTAAGATATTTGCAGCAATGATGTTGGAAAACACAGCAACTCACTTTGTGAAGGCCACTTTAATTAGAGCTTTAGCCAGCAGCATTGGCCACAGCTCTGACTGACAAGTGGAGGCAGGAAGAAGCAGATTATTTTCCTCATCGAATGGCATGGAATCATCCACAGTTATCTTTCTCCAGGATCCCTAATTGTAGAAAGGAAGGAGGAGAGGAAACAGAAGGAGCCATGACTCTTAGAGAGGAGTTAAAATCAATACTGATACAAGTTAATGGCTTGTATTAAAAAAGCACAAAGAAACACAAAGTATATTTTTAGGAAAAAAAGGCAGATTACAAACTCTGGTAAAATGATCATTGATTTTCTTAAAATTTGTTTACAAACTTCTTAAAAATAAATTATCCTTTTCTTTTCGAGGTTGTAAAATGTAACATGTGGGTCCAGAGCATCACAAGTTTCTTAAGCTCCCATACATAATCTTTGAAAATTATGTTCTTTACATAACAATATATGAAGCATTGCTTTATGGGTTCTGTTTTAAATGTAATATATGGGAATTTATACACTATATTGCCAAAAGTATTTGCTCACCCATCCAAATTATTGGAATCAGGTGTTCCAATCACTTCCATGGCCACAGGTGTATAAATTCAAGCACCTAGGCATGCAGACTGTTTTTACAAACATTTGTGAAAGAATGGGTCGCTCTCAGGAGCTCAGTGAATTCCAGCGTGGAACTGTGATAGGATGCCACCTGTGCAACAAATCCAGTCGTGAAATTTCCTCGCTCCTAAATATTCCACAGTCAACTGTCAGCTGTATTATAAGAAAATGGAAGTGTTTGGGAACGACAGCAACTCAGCCACGAAGAGGTAGGCCACGTAAACTGACGGAGCGGGGTCAGCGGATGCTGACGCGCATAGTGCGAAGAGGTCGCCAACTTTCTGCAGAGTCAATCACTACAGACCTCCAAACTTCATGTGGCCTTCAGATTAGCTCAAGAACAGTGCGCAGAGAGCTTCATGGAATGGGTTTCCATGGTCGAGCAGCTGCATCCAAGCCATACATCACCAAGTGCAATGCAAAGCGTCGGATGCGGTGGTGTAAAGCACGCCGCCACTGGACTCTAGAGCAGTGGAGACGCGTTCTCTGGAGTGACGAATCGCGCTTCTCCATCTGGCAATCTGATGGACGGGTCTGGGTTTGGCGGTTGCCAGGAGAACGGTACTTGTCTGACTGCATTGTGCCAAGTGTAAAGTTTGGTGGAGGGGGGATTATGGTGTGAGGTTGTTTTTCAGGAGCTGGGCTTGGCCCCTTAGTTCCAGTGAAAGGAACTCTGAATGCTTCAGCATACCAAGACATTTTGGACAATTCCATGCTCCCAACTTTGTGGGAACAGTTTGGAGCTGGCCCCTTCCTCTTCCAACATGACTGTGCACCAGTGCACAAAGCAAGGTCCATAAAGACATGGATGACAGAGTCTGGTGTGGATGAACTTGACTGGCCTGCACAGAGTCCTGACCTCAACCCGATAGAACACCTTTGGGATGAATTAGAGCGGAGACTGAGAGCCAGGCCTTCTCGTCCAACATCAGTGTGCGACCTCACAAATGCGCTTCTGGAAGAATGGTCAAAAATTCCCATAAACACACTCCTAAACCTTGTGGACAGCCTTCCCAGAAGAGTTGAAGCTGTTCTAGCTGCAAAGGGTGGACCGACGTCATATTGAACCCTATGGATTAGGAACGGGATGTCACTTAAGCTCATATGTGAGTCAAGGCAGGTGAGCAAATACTTTTGGCAATATAGTGTATATGAATTCTGCCGACATTAGTCTCCTGCTTAAGCCAGGCAAAGATCCTATGTTTCCTACCAGCTATCGTCACATATCCTTAATTAATGTGGATATTAAAATAATCTGTAAAGCTTTAGCAAAACGATTAGATAAAGTCACTCCTCTCATAATCTACCTTGATCAAACTGGTTTCATTAAAGGAAGGCAGTCAGCCAAAAACACACGTAGACTTCCTAATTTAATAGAGTATTACTACAGCAAAAATATAAAATCCTACATATTGTCTTTAGATTCAAAAAAGTATTTGATAGAGCAAACTGAAAATTTCTATTTACTACTCTACATAAATTTGGTTTTGGCAATTCCTTTATAAATTGGTTAAAAATCTTAAACAGCTTCCCAACAGCCTGTGTCAGGACAAATAATCAAACATCTTCCAGCTTTTGTCTCCTGAGGGACACCAGGCAGGGATGCCCGCTCTCCCCCTCACTTTTTGCGATTTTTATTGAGCCTCTAGCTGCTACAAGACAAATTAATGTGGTTAAAGGTATAAAAGGCATGAAAATAGAGCATAAAATTAGTCTTTATGCAGATGATGTATTACTTTACCTCCAGCACTCAAACAATTGACTCTCTGAAGTGATTAGATTTCTAGAATCTTTCTCAGAAGTCTCAGAATACTCTATAAATTGGTCTAAATCTATAATACTACCAATTAATTGCTCTCTACAGAATCCCTCAGTTCTACAATTGCAATCAGGAAATATCAAATATTTAGGAATTACTGTGTCATCTAAATAAGCTGAGTTACCAAAACTCAACTACATTCCTCTTTAAAAAAAGATAGAAGAGGAGCTAGAAAGATGGAAATCGCTTCCGATCTCCCTTATGGGTAGGGTAGGCTCAATTAAAATGATAATCTTACCTAGAATTAACTAATTATTTTAAATGGTCCCCAATAAACCATGACCCAACTGGTTTTAAATCTCTAGATTCCTCCATCTCTAAATTTCTTTGGAAGGATAAACCCCCTCGTATCAGCTTGAAGACACTACAGAGAACTAAAGACAGAGGGGGACTAGATTAACCTAACTCCCAAAACTATTACTTAGCAAATAGACAATATATCTATAGTCCTTTAGATGAGCCCTGGATAGACACAGAACAGGAAATATGCTGTAATATCACAACTTCAGATTTGCCGTTTATTAGCTCTAATATCAAGCGGCATTCCTGTTTTAAAAATATTAACATCAGCTCTTCCCTGACAGAATGGTGGGAATTTCTTAAAATGACGAAGTCATCCCTTATCCCATGTAGTCGTACACCCATCTGGAATAACCCTGACATTGTACTAAACAATAATAGGATAAACTTTCCATACTGGAAGAATAAAGGTATTACATATCTAGATCATTTATTTGAAGGAACGGAGTTTATCACACTTTCTAGATTAAATTTGCAATATGGCATTAACAACAATAAATTCTTAGAATATGAACAAATTACATCTATAATTAGAAGCAAATTTAAGCATATTGGTGGAGGTTTACAAATTCCAACTAATATATCAAAGTTCCTAGAGTTAAACCCCCCCAAACTACCGTATAAATTAATTACCGGTAGGACACTGACTAAACTGGATGATACAATATCTCTTCCTATGATGAAATGGAAGGAGGATCTATCAATCGGTTTTGAACAAAACATCTGGGCTCAGATATGTCTAAAAACTTTTAACATGACTAAAACCCCAATTTACAATTATTACAATACAAAATCCTCCAAAGAGTGCACTATACAGGTCAAAGATTATTCAAGATGGGTTTTGCACAATCTAAAATGTCCACAGTGCACAGGCAATTAACTTGATAATTATTTTCACGCGTTATGGTTATGCACGCCGGTTAAGAGGTTCTGGGTACAGGTATATGAGGACTTATCACTGTGCCTGGTTGTAAAATTTCACCTTCCCCTTCAGTTTGCTTGCTGGGTTACTTTGAGGGAAGCTCTCTGGAAAAAAAAAATCAGTTTGCATGGCTTTCACTGCATTATGTATCGCAAAGAAAACTATCCTCATGAATTGGAAAAGTAAGGAAAAACTCAGCATCAATCAGTACAGAGCTCTTTTGTTGGATCATATTAATCTTGAGACAGTATCTGCATCTCCATCAGACCGATCTCTCTGGGCTCCCTTGATCGGCTCCATCTGGGGGGTATGTGGATATTAGAAGGTCTGGATCCCTGTCTCCCCTGTCGCCAGGGTTCTCTCCCCATTTTTTTTTTTTTTTGGGATGGACAGGATAGGGGGGAGGTGGCAGTGTTGGCCCTGGTGGCCGGCTGGCTTGTGGGCCCCGCCGTCTGTCCCTGGCCCCCGGGCTATGGTGGTGCGAGTGGTGGGGCACCCTCTCCGGAGGGGCTCTCGTAGAACGGGGGTGCCTATTGGAGTAAACGGGGGAGCTGGCTCCTTGGGAGTGCAGTGAGAACCCCAGTCCTTTACTCCCAATCTCTGGATTCCTCCCTCTGCCTGCTCCATCACACTGCCACACATGTAGGTTCTTGGGGAGGGTGTCGCTTCTGGAGGTTCCCGCCTTCTGATGACGTCCCCCACCCCAATTTTATTCAGCATTTTAGACACTTCCATGTACAACATTTTCACAACACACATCTATGTAGGGCATTGTTTGGGGGGGTTGGCTACCCCCACGGAGCCCATTTCCCCCGTCTTGCTCTCCCACCACTGGCTAGCGCCTGGGCTCGCCGGTGCACTGGTGGAGCTCGGTGTTTGGGGCTGGATGCCCGGGTGGCTAATGGCTTCTTTCTGGCGGGCTCTCCGCAAGGCCTGGCCTGCCGAGGCCCGGCTAGGGCTCCCGCCGGGGGATGGGGTGCCCCTGGGGCTTCAGATCCCTGGGGCCCATGGCTGGATTCACTTCGGAGTGGCTGGCTGCCGGTGGAGCACACGGACTCGTCCCTGCGGCTCCTGGGTGCTCAGGCATTGCGGTGGCTGAGGGACTTCCTCGGGGCAGTCTCTCCTCCTCCCTTGGTGGGGGTCGAATTTCCTGGGTTGGCCCCTCCTTGGCACCTTTGCTCTGGGGGTCCCTTCGGGCTTCTGGGGCTTTAGGTCTCCCGGCGCTGGCCTCGGTGCTCTGGGGGGGGGCGCCTCTTCATAACCACTATTGAGCATTTTTTTTCTTTGGATAAACTTTATATGCACCAGTGCACTCTCACAAACAACTACAGATGATTGGTTCCAGGTACTAAGAGATTCACTTCCATACAAAAAGCCCATATTCTTATCTTCAGGTAACACAGAATACATGTCAGATTAAATAATACTATTTATACTTCAGCGATAGTATCTAGGTGTTACTTTATTGTATGTGTTGTAGCATGTCCATTGGTTGTGCTGTTCTTTTTATATCTCTTTGCAGGTGATGAAGTAGACTGAAGGTGTTTTATCATTATCTCCCTTTTATCTCCTCTTTCTTTCATCTTTTCTCCTTTTTTTCTGTTTTTCCTTTCCCATTCTACTTACAGTGGAGTGTCCATATAATCTGTTAAACTCCCTGTAAATGATAATAAAACAATGTATATGCATAAATCAAGCAGAACACTATGGCGATAGCCATACTGCTCCACTTGTGAAAGTAAAATCCGTTGGGCTCTTTTTGGCATCAAGACAATTATTCTTATTGCCATATTGCCAGACAGGACACTGTTAAAAAAATGTAATATATGTATAGAATTATGAAAACATTATATAAAAATAACAAAAGAAAACGTTTTCCCCCTATTTTTCTTTATTCATCATAGGGAGCAGTTTGAGGTATTCTAAAATTTTCTAGATTAAGTTGCTTGATATAAAAGTTTTTGTTTTTTATTGCTGTAAGACCCAACATTAATACAAATGTTAGTTGATATTAGCATGTAATCTATTTTATGGGGTATGTGCTAGTATTATTTCTAATTAACACAACATGAATATATTTTTTAAATAATTAAAAACACATTAATGTTGAAATACAGCTTAAAAAAATATTGACAACTTTTTAACTGCTCTAGTGCCACTTGGTGTTGAAGTCACATGTTTTTTGTGTGTTATTACTCTATTATTACTCACCTCAACTAAATCTTTTTTCTTTGACACTGTAAAGAATGCAATGCCAGAGATTATATCATCAATAATCTAAAAGTGACACTGTTTCTCACATAAGAGAACCAGTAATTATTCTCCAATCATTGTAAAGGATTCCTTCACAAGCAGATCTTGGGTTTTATGCTTTGCACCATTGTAACTTCTTGTAGCATTTACTGCCTTAATAGTAGTGATGAGTAATAATGTTACTTCGGCTAACCATCTAGCAGAATTTCTACACTGCTTTTGAAAAAAATAAGCACATCCGGTGTTGCTTGAATTATTGTTCAAAACATTGTATTTTCTGTTGTTTAACAAGCATTGCAAACCTCTATGGAGCAGAGGTGGGAAAGGGCGACTCTCCCTTTATTTCTTGTTGCACCAACCATTTCTTTACCCCACAGAGGATCTTGATTTGCCCACATGAAGGGATGAAATACAATGCAGGATCTTACATAAAGGCAGAGAGTGAAAAATGTAAGAGAATTCTAAAAAAATAAATAAATAAAAATAGATAAGCCTTTCTTGTGAACGACAGTTCCACAAAAATAAAAATTAAACAAAAAAGACAGTTAGTGACACAGAAAACTAAACAAAAAGAGCTGTAATGAAATATGAAAGGGAGTAGTGGGGGCTGGGTGCCTAATAGCATCTCAACAACCATCTGTTTGGATGCTATGGTTGGCACAGGAAGTGATGCCTACAACTGTGTTATGCTTGTTTGTCAAAGCAAGAATCAGTGTTACAATAAATAATTATATAGTGTTGCACATTTTCTCTGTTGTTGACCCAAACCGTTGCTGCAAAAAACAAAAAAAAACAAAAAAACTAAGAAAAGTGATATAGCAACCACCACTTCACTTGAAGACCAATTACTTGAAGGGTAGCTTCAATTTATTCCAAAACCATTTAACTTTATAACTCTTGTAAAATGATATAAACTATTGTTAAGCCTTATAGGTGTATATGTTGTCCACGACAGTGATACTGATCGGCTTAAGCTCTAACTGCCCTCTGTTTAATTTTATTTTATTCTCATTGAATAAATCTAGAGGAATTTAAAGCAGAAAAAAATAAAAGCAACAGTTCTGATTGAAACAAGTGTTAACAATAAACAGCTGATCAGCATTGACCTCAGGAAGTTCTTTATGAATACGATATTCTTAAGTTGTCTAAGTCTACATGCTTTTTTGACAGACTTACCATCCAGTAAAGTCTGATCACATATTTTCCATAGCTGTTATAAAGTGGCACATGACCTTTCACCACGTCACACAGCGAGTAGATGTGCTCCCATGGTTTCCAGCTATCTTCTTGTGTAGTTGAGTCAGAATTGAGCATCCAAACAATATGGAGCTCACTGATGATCCACCTCATCATCTTAAAAGAGTCAGAACATAAACAGCAGATAAGATAGTCATACATGGCCATCAGCATGGCTAAAATTTTATTTTTGTTAGTTGAAATTGTTCTAAACAGAAGTAGTTATAACGTAAAATTTTAAAAACTAACCTCACAACCAATTAGATGATTGTTGGGGGACACCAGATCAAAGTCCTGTTTATTTTCGACCACAGTAACATCCTGAAACCATTAAAAAGATTGTACTGATTATAAAGGCTTAGATTGTTCCATTTATAGCTGTGCTTGGAAGTTGACATACCCTTTCATTAAAGACAAAAATCAAAGGTAGGTATGCAGGTTCAGTTCATGGGCAAAATCCTGTAATATGTCTCGGATAGTTTTTTTTTCTTTTATTATCTTTTCAATTAAAATTCCAAAAATCAATATTTTATTTTAGGAAATGATAATTTAATACTTTTTTATTCGGTGTATGGGACCTTATTTTATCATGAAGAAGATGATGTTTGTTTAATCTTGTGACAATGCCCCTTTAAGGTACAGTATTAGAATGAATGCAGTAAATCTACACAAACGGTTGATAATTGTGAAGTAAAAGGATAAATCATATTTTTTATTCTTACATAAAAAGCTATAAAAAGAACAACTGGGGGGGATATGTCTGTCTTTACACTCATCAAAACTAACAATTGCCTCTGGAGGAACTACTAGAATGCAATGCACAGGTGTGATAATATGGGAACAGGATTAGTTGTGATGGTATGATGCCAGAATCCTTTTCTTGACCAGGCAGAAAGAAAAGCTAATCAGAGTTTATATGAAGCTATGGAGCTAAATACAATATGGTTTGTTTCATTTACAAACCAGAACAAAGCCAGACTGCAAATAACAATTAGATCTGCAGAAAGGATCACAGGGACTGACCTCCCAGTCCATCAACACTATATGCAAGACAAGAGCCAAAAATCAGAGCTATTATCCCTGCAAACCTGACTTATCATAGTAAGAGACTGTTCAGACAGGGAGGCACTACAGAACACTAATAACAAAAAGTAACTGCTACAGTGGCAGTTTTTTCCTCAGACTGTCTCCCTCTTAAATTCAATGAACAACTCACAACCTCAGGGCTTTTCTACAAATGCAACTTATATTGCTCTTATTTTTTTTGTTTTGTTTTTTTCATTTAAAAAATTACATTTGTACTGATTTTTTATGTGATCCACATGATGTAACTTGTGGGTTTCACATGGGTTTTCACTATGAAATGTGAAAATGTGTTTGCCATATGTCAATTTTACATGCGGCACAGAAAATATATTATTTATTTATTTGTTTATTTTTGTAAGGGAACAAATGCTACAGGCTTCCAAAAACTGGGGTGATAGAAACACAACAATAAAACTGAAGGCAGAAGGAAATGGTTCTTATGAGAACACATTTATGATCTTAAAGTCTCTTTCAAACCCCATTTGAGATTTTATATATATATATATATATATATATATATATATATATATATATATATATATATATATATATATATATATATATATATATATATATATATATATATATAATTCCTATGGGTTGCAGGGATAGTCATCATATTTTAAGGCAAAATAACTACAAAAATTAGGCTGAGAAGCTTGAAAACTGCATCTTTACGTAATTTGAGGCATACAATTATATATTAATAGCCAAACACAAACGGAGTTTATATAGAGAATGAAATATTTCTCCAACAGGAGGCAAAGTTACCTTATTAACGATGAACTCTGCTGGACGTTTCCATGTGTGCACCTTAAGAGGGGGGGGCAAAGGAAGCTTTCCCTCTGGATCTTCAAAAAATGACTAAAAATGCGACATTTTACACAGCGTATATCAAAATCTTTTCTTATCCTTAAAAATAGCAATACCAAAGTTCAACCACCAATTACTTGTTCAAACTTTTTCAACATTAAAAATATGGAAATGAAATTCCTACTTTTGTAGACAACTCAGGAACCCTACCCACTACCCTCCACCCCATTACTTACATGGATGCGACTCTTGCTCGACTTTCTGTCCTCCAGTCCTTTAGAGTCCAACTCCTTGCTGACTTCGGTATCATTCCACTCTGGCCAGATATGAGATCCTCTTTTCCCGACATCCCCGAGACTGTCGGAGGACTTAACGGCCCTGAAACACCGAGATATCCGACTCATCTCCTCGCAAACGTTAAAGTGCAAAGCAAAAGTTAAAGTGCAACCCTCGCAATTAACGTTAATTGTGAGGGTTGCACTTTAACGTTTGCGTTAAAACTCCTCGCAAATGTCATGTTAATTGCGATTAACATCATGTTAATTGCGAGGGTTAACTCAGACTCACTCATTCTGGCGGTCAGTTGAAAATGATTTGCTGGACGAATGCTCCGTTTTCCTTAATTGCGATTTAGACATTGTATTTATTATTAAATAAAAGAGAAAAGAAAAGTAACTCGCTGCTTCCTCGCTGAAGTTTGGCAGTTGCTAAGCAACCTGTCTCAAAGGTGGGCGGGATCTAGAATAGGAGCGTTTCCTGTTCTATTATTTTAGCCGATTTGAAGTCTTAAAACTACAGAAGAGGATTAGGGCCACTGGGGAAAAAAAAAAAAAACTTAACTGATTTTTACATTTGATTTCAGTTTAATATGGGAAAATTCTGATATTAAAGTCAGAGTTCTGAGATTAAAGTCAGAATTCTGAGATTAAAGTCAGAGTTCTTTAAAAAAAAAAAAAAAAGTCAGAATTCTGAAATAAAAGTCAGAGTACTGAGAAAAAAGTCAGAATGCTGAGATTAAAGTCAGTGTAGAGGCAAGCACGCATTTTTTGTCTTGTCTTTAATGTCAGGGTGCATGTGATAGAGGTATGTATGGGCATGTGTGGATAGAGCTCCCGCAAGATCCAAAGACAGAGAAGAGGAGAGAATTCTAATTAATTGCATATAAAGAAGAGCCTTCTGTTAAGAAGGTTATGGAGAAGAAGTACCACACCGTCAGTGGCAGAGAGTGTGAAATCAAAATCGCCCAACCCAAATAGGTCTACACGCAGCAGCAGTTCAACACACTGACTCCAAGGAGGAAACGTAAAGCTTTACTGCAGTTAGGGATGTTTATTGTACCCTTTTTCTGTGAAGCATTGTACAATAGGTGGACTTGCATACTTATTTAACTTTAAACTTGCGGTCAACAGAAATATTTGCCACTGCCTTAGCCTCTCTCTGAATCAAACAAACAAAACAGCCGCAGAGCAGATTCAGTTGATATTCATTAGACAATCATTCTGCACCAGACACATGCCAACACCCAGCTCCACCACACATGCCCATACATACCTGTAACACATGCACCCTGACCTTAGAGACAAGACAAAAAATGCATCCTTGCCTCTACACTCAGAATTCTGATATTAAAGTCAGAATTCTGAGATTAAAGTCAGAATTCAGAGAAGAAGTCAGAATTCTGAGATTGTCAGAATTCTGACTTTTTTCCCCCATATTAAACTGAAATAAACTTTAAAAATCAGTTAACTTATTTATTTTTTCAGTGGCCCTAATCCTCTTCTATATAAAACTGAACTGCTGATATCAACCCCTAACATTGGCAAACTGTATGTTATACACACCTTTGTGGCTGTTTTACATTTTAACTGACCAAAAATGGAAAAGGTCTGCTTGTCTGCCCCATTCAGTACAATAAAAGCCTACATCAATCTTTGTTTAATTGCCAGGAGGCTTTTTGCCTGACATAGACAACTTTGTATATACAACAACTTGTAAAGTATTCCATATTTTGATGAGATGTACACCTAATGTATTTTTTGTGAAAATGTGTTCGTTGTAATCTGCCCACATGTTAGATTAGCATGTAGCTCTCTACATCTGTTTCTCTTGAAGTTAAAAGATTTTTTTCTCACAGCATCTTTTGAGTTTTTAATAAAACATATTTATTGAAACTTGTGATGTGGGGCGCAACAAAATAATAGCATTCTAGGTAATAGTTAGCTCATTAAATGCTTTGTTTTTACCTTTCCTAAAGACTTTGTGGAGCCTCTAATATCTAATAGACTCTGCGCCTCACATTATTGTTGAGTAAAAGAAGACAACAACAATCTGTTAAAATGTTTATTCTATTTGGTTTGGAATATTTTAAAGTATTTCCACCTGTAAACATGTTAAAAAACAATATTTACATTTTACAACAGCTCTAAAGACTGCAATATACAAAAACCTGTAGACCTCAGTCTGAGTGTGGTTTCATTGCATTAACAACTATTCAATGCTTGACACATAACATTTGAAAAGGAATTTACATAACCATACCAACAAAAACAAAATCATACAGAGGTCTGTAAATGGTTCTGTAATAATGTAGTACCATCATTATATATATATATATATATATATATATATATATATATATATATATATATATATTTTTGTTTTTAGTGAAATACTGTTATTTTTCTGCAGTGTAATATTGACTGAACTACAAAAAAGGATAACAATCCTAACTCCTTTAGTAAAATAATAAAAATGTTATAGCACAATAGTTAAGAAGAGCATATACAGCAATCCAAGTTAAGAAAAGGTGTTACAGAATGTCTTGCTAAAAACATAATAATGACAACACTAAGTGGAATTCATTCTGTGAGAAATAAAATGTGATGTCCATCTACAGGCACTTAATAAAAGCTACAGCATAATTAAAAATAGTTCTTTTTTTAAATGGTAGCTTAGACAACAAAACACACATGGGGTAATATTGATTAATACAATAAAGTGACAATCACAAGGACAACAATTCTTTTCAAGTTTGCACTTCTCAACTTTCTATAGCGAGTGCACCACAAACCCCCCATATTCGATATTAGTCCAAGAATGAAGAGGTTGTCAGGGCAACAGTCGGAAAATCCGCTGTACATATTGTAAGCATTTTCTAGTGGAAGAAGAAAAAAAAACATCCCCCTAAATGCACTTAAAAATCTAGAGGCAATATCAAAAATAAAACTGACTAATGAAACCTTGGATGCACAAGTCAAACGGGTATCAGTGCAGGGAAAAGTTCCTGAAGGTTTGAAGAGACAAAAGCAAAAAAAAAAAAATATGAATCTTTGTCTCTGGTTGCATCAGGGAGCTGGAGCCACAGGCTGGATGAACTCACTGGACCCCACCAAAGGGATGTGGATGGCTAATGTGAGTGGATTGAATGTTAGCAGCAGCCTGACTTGCTCTCAGCAGCTATAGTCTCCTGGTCCAGTTTGATGCGGTCTCCGTTGCTCTCCTCATATGGCAATCCTTTATCATTCGCCAGGATGTTCTCTACCAGGAAACGAGCTGCTTCATCCACATTAATGTTGTCCTAAAAACACATGAAAATGGTTTTGTCAGATGGCGATTACATGAAATGATGCCAGTGCAACAAGACATAACAGTTTTAAATTACATTTACCTTTAAATAAACGTATACAAACAATGGAAACATTTTTTATCAATGCTTTTGTCTTTTATTCATGACATAACATATTCTGTTTGACAAAAAGAGATAAAATATTGACTACAATTCAAAATTCACCACAAAAGATTTAAGACATTGGGTTACTGTAGTCCCCACCACAAGTCTCTACTCTATTTAACTTATATTACAGTCTATTACAGACTATTTATTATTTTAATACATCCTTCATTATTTTTCAACCAGCATATGAGGATTTCAAAGAGATATCTTAGAAGCTAACTATTTGAAGTTTGTAAATTAAAAATATCCTATGTTTACATACCATTTTACTGCTGTAACTACCATAGTAACTGTTGGCCAGGTTTCCCCTTCAACATTTTAAATGCAGGGGTACAAGCAAGAGATGAAAACACACATTTTATCTGTCTATTGCTTTTCTAAATCAGCGCTGAATGAGTAGCTCATGGCTACCCACAACTTTTTTTCTAGTTTTTTTCTATTGTAATTAAATATTCTATTAACCTGTTTAGTAAGTTAAATTATTTGGTGTCATTAAATACACCCAAAAAGAAAACAACAAACACATTGCAGGGACAGACAGCTCAAAGAGCTAATGTATATCTCCCACTCATAGAATTTAAACTTAAAACTAAAGTTGAATTAGGATACAAATGTGAGAAATACCAAAAGAAAAAACACAGACAAGTTATCAATACCAATATATATATATATATATATATATATATATATATATATATATATATATATATATATATATATATATATATATATATATATATATATATACCGTAAATTCTCTAATATTGGCCTGTATTCCATTAGCGGCCGGGACTCTAACATTGGCCGGTCTCGCTGTCAGAGGAGGTAAATAATGGCCGGTCTCTAATACAGGCCGGGGCTATAAACATTTTTTCTGGGCATACCTCAACATTATACTTGTGGTAGTAACATACAAGTACCACAGCCCTGCGCTGCTGGACGACAGGCCCTGACTGCTGCCCGTCTGCGCGAGGAAGAGAACAGATACGCAGCAGACCATGAGGAGGAGCGCGAGTGATGAGGAGATTAAAGGGAGAGATGAAGAGGAGGAGGAAACTGAGGAGGAGGATTAAACAGAATTGGAGGATTTTTTTTTTCTTTTTTACTTCAAACCAAGCGAACATGGTAACTGTACTTTTTCAATAAATTAACCTAGTGTTTTATAGGTTCAAATAGACACAAAATCTCATTTTTATTCATTCCACTGGTAGTCTGTTTTGCTCAAATAGCAATAGAGGCCTGTCTCTAATTCTGGCCTCTTTCCAATAAAGGCCTGGACCGCGATGCACTTGAGTGAAATAAAGGCCCGGGCCTATATTAGAGAATTTACGGTATATATATATATATATATATATATATATATATATATATATATATATATATATATATATATATATATATATATATATATATATACATACATATATACATATATATATATATATATATGTATAGGTATTGGAATGCCTGGAAATGTACAAGATCAACAGGACTCTAATAGCCTTCATCAAGAACTCAATGAAGCTGTGGAAAACAAGTCTGGAAGCCAATGCAAAGCCAATAGCACAAGTCACCATCAAGTGCGGCATATACCAGGGTGATGCACTATCCCCGCTGCTGTTCTGCATAGGCCTGAACCCCCTCAGCCAGATCATCACAAAGACTGGCTACGGATACCAATTCTGAAGCGGAACAATCATCAGTCACCTCCTCTACATGGATGACATCAAGCTGTATGCCAGGAGTGAGCGAGACATCGACTCACTGATCCACACTACCAGGATTTACAGCAACGACATTGGGATGTCATTCGGACTGGACAAGTGCGGTCGCATGGTCTCAAAGAGAGGGAAGATGATCAGAACCGAGGGGGTTGAACTACCAGAAGGCCACATAACAGATGTTCAGGACAGCTACAAATACCTTGGGGTGCCACAGGTTAACGGAAACCACGAGGAGATGGCAAGAAAGACTGCCACAGCTAAATACCTACAAAGAGTAAGGCAGGTCCTGAAAAGTCAGCTGAATGGGAAAAACAAGATCCAAGCCATCAACACATATGCCCTACCAGTCATCAGATACCCCGCTGGTATAATAAACTGGCCAAAGGAGGAGATAGAGGCTACTGACATCAAGACGAGAAAGCTCCTCACAATGCATGGAGGGTTCCACCCCAAATCCAGCACTCAGACTGTACACCAAGCGTAGCGAGGGAGGCCGAGGGCTAGTGAGTGCAAAGACCACTGTCCAGGATGAAACAACTAAGATCCAGGAGTACATCAGAAAGATGGCCCCCAAAGACAAATGGCTCGGTGAGTACCTCAGGCAGGAGAAAACCGAAAGTGAGGACAAGAAAGAGGAAGGGGAACCATCATGGAGGGACAAGCCGCTGCACGGCGTATACCACAGACAAATAGAAGAAGTGGCTGATATCAAAAAATCCTACCAGTGGCTGGAAAAGGCTGGACTGAAGGACAGCACAGAGGCACTAATCATGGCAGCACAAGAACAGGCACTCAGTACAAGATCAATAGAGGCCAGGGTCTACCACACCAGGCAGGACCCCCGATGCAGACTGTGCAAAGATGCCCCTGAAACAATACAGCACATAACAGCAGGGTGTAAAATGCAGGCAGGAAGTGCATACATGGAACGCCACAACCAGGTAGCTGTCATAGTGTACAGGAACATCTGCCATGAGTATGGGCTGGAAGTCCCAAGGTCAAAATGGAAGACACCTCCTAAGGTAGTTGAGAATGACCGAGCTAAGATCCTATGGGACTTCAAGATCCAGACTGACAAACAGGTGATGGCTAACCAACCAGACATCGTGTTGATGGACAAACAGCAGAAGAAGGCAGTAGTGATAGATGTGGCAATCCCAAGCGACAGCAACATCAAGAAGAAAGAACACGAGAAGCTTGAGAAATACCAAGGACTGAAGGAGGAGCTAGAAAATATGTGGAAAGTGAGAGCAGCAGTGGTGCCAGTGGTAATTGGAGCACTGGGGGCTGTGACCCCCAAACTGGGAGAGTGGCTACAGCAGATTCCAGGTAAAACATCAGAGGTCTCTGTCCAGAAGAGCGCAGTCCTAGGAACAGCTAAGATACTGCGCAGAACCCTCAAACTCCCAGGCCTCTGGTAGAGGACCCGAGCTTGAGGATGACACATACCACCCCACGAGGGGTGAGAAAACAGTTTTTTTTTTTTATAATTGCCATAGAAACAATAAAATACATAATTTAAATGTCATTCAGTGCACTTATTTTAATTGGTCAATAAAAAAAAAAATGCATTTATATAAGTGACTCATACAAGCAGTTACCAGATTGGTGATCTGACAATCTTTTAAACATCTTCTTTTCACATTCAATTAATATTTTCTAGCCACATGGAAAACCTATTTAACAGAGTAGCTGCTTTATATATTAATATTTATTCTTTGAAAATATTTTTATGTATAGTTAAATTATAAATTGTATAGTTAAAAAACTAAGAAATCTGGTGGTTTTTGATCAGACAAAATGGCAAGATGGCAAAGAGCTTATATTGGGCACAATCTAAAAGAGACACAAACAAATAAAAAAAAAAAAAAAACTTTTTTAGTATGTTATATATTAAATATATATTTGCTCACATGGTTTATTAAACTGACCAACATATGAATGCTAATCTATCATAACTAGATGTGAGCAGCATGTTAAATATCTTGGGACAAATAGTTTGTTTACAAGATCAAAATTGAAAAATATGCGGATAAATGGTTAGCTGTGGGTACAAGATGGGAGTTTTGGATGTAGAATGGGGGTACTGACCTGGAGCCTTTAGATACAGATTTGACTGGTTAAATGGTTATTTAAATGGAGGCTAGGTGGAAGTTCAACTGAATAAACTAATTACTCGCCTTCATCCGCCTCCGACACCAGCTAATCAGCTTTGAACCACAATCCACAAAAGCCCAATCAGCATCCAGAGTTCATCTTAAAAGGTCTCCAATCTATAACTCCATCTGCTACCCAAAGCGCAGGCAGTGGTCATGCTATGTCAGACTTCGATTCAGATGACCTTGTTTTAACCCACCTCCATCCTCTTCTCCACCATCGTAGCCTAAGCTTCATCAGTGTGTCATTCCTCCTGGACTCTTATTGCATTCCCTGTCTCATTTCAACCGGTCCGGCAGAAGACCGCCATGTTGAGCCTGGTTCTGCCAAAGGTTTCTTCCCAATGGGGAGTTTTTCCTCTCCACTGTTGCTTCATGCTTGCTCATCGTGGACAGGTTCTCTCAACGTGTGTTATCCAAGCGGGACTTCCATCTTCCAGGTCCCTGAGTAAAGCTCTAGTATCAGCTCACACAGCCCACAGGTTCACTCCATACAGTTCAAGCATACCTTCTCGCCAACCAGCAGTCATGGAATGACCAACTTCGTCTATCTGCACTCCACTAACAGTGTCGGGCCTGGGGGGGGACACCCCTGTTCTTTACTCCTGTTCATGCATATCTAACAAAATTCAGTGCTTAGTTTCCTGCCAAGGTCTGAAAACAAAATTCTTCTAATTGTCTTTTTTCTTTCTTCTTTCTTTGTGAGTTTTTCAGGTTGAATTATTTTGAGCCACTTGAAACTGTTGACACTTTATTCTTTTGTATTTTTTTTTAATTTATGTTCTAATCTTCTGATGCCTGGCTGATGTTAAAAAGTTCACATCTAGGTGGACACAGAGGACAGATATAGTTTATTACAACAGGGTTATTTTTCTTTTTGCCCATAAATCCTTATAAAGCAACTGTATGGTAATTCAGAATTTTTCAAAAGTAATTTCTGAAGTTAATGTGATGTTTCTTGCATTTTCACAAAACTTTCACCAAAAAAATAGTTTATTTTTCAACACTGTCACTTTTGAAATTATCTTAAATCCTTATAATTTTGATTACATACTTCCAATGTTTTCACAAAGGAAAAAAAAAACTTTTATACATTTCAAAGACATTCCATAAAACCTCAGAGAAATGTTTTATTACTTCACAGTGACTATGTTCTTTTTCTGTTCATGGCCCTGAGAACACAATGTGCTATAAACATTTGGTTCTCATTGAAACAACTCCATCACAGGTTACTGGGGGTGGAGCTTTACAGAAACGTGACCAACTTTTTACAGCACCAACTGAGAGGAAACTGCTTTGCTCTTGTTGAACACACACCCACACGCCTCACATGACAGAGCTCAAGGAGCAAAACTTTCTCAGGATTAGATAACAGAGTCGACTAATTCCAAACACATAAAAGCATACCCTAAGATTGAAATGCAACAATGGGTGGCTTTGATTTTTCCTAGAAACAAGTTTTCCTGTTGTCTTTTAGTTAGAATTAGAGAACTGTTCTTCTCTGCAAAGAAAGATGCTGTCATTTTAATTATACCAACTTAAAAAATCTATAAAAAACAAACAAAAAAAATAATCCTGCTGTAGGTTTGGCTGTATGTTTAGAGCCATTGTCCATCTCAAGAGTAAACATCCTCCTTACGCTGATGTCTTAAGCAGCATTTCATAGGTTTTCCTCAAGGATCCCATTGAATTTAGCTCAATTTGTCATTAAAGTTTTCAAAACCCACTCTGTGACCCGTCTAGTGGGTTCTGTGGTTCTCAACATGCTGTTTGTTTTCTAGTTGTCCCTTAAAAGCCTACAAAGAACAACACCCTTTATGCAGAGACTTTGGTTACAGGTTATATTATGAATATTAGCAGGAGTAGAATTCCACACTTTTTGTTACTTATGTTTAAATACATTCTTGCTTTATTTTCATTCAATTACATACTATACATTTGTGTTGGCATGTTATACAAAATATTAGGACTGAAAGAATTCCTTGGATGCTCAGTGGAACAGTGGGTAGCACTGCCGCCTTGCAGCAAGAAGCTTCCAGGTTTGATTCCCGGCCTGGGGTCTTTCTGCATGGAGTTTGTATGTTCTCCCTGTGCATGCGTGGTTGCTCTCCGGGTACTCCGGCTTCCTCCCGCAGTCCAAAAACATGACTGTTAGGTTAAATGGCTTGTGAGTTTGTGCATAAATGCTTGTTTGCAGGGATACGCGTGACAGAAAATGGATGGATGAAATAATCGTCAACTAATTTAGTAATTGATAAATTGTTAACTGGAGTATAGAGACTCTACACTAAAAAAAACAACTCATAACATTTACTTGAACAATATAAAGCAGGTATTGCAAATGATTTAAGTAAAATTTAATGCTGCAAAATCAAGTAACACTCACTTGCCGGTATCAAGTGAATTTTACTTTCCAAAAGACATGAAAGTTGTGAAATGAAAGTAACCATCAGTATTACTTTAATATAATTCTCCTCACCCAAAAGAAGGTTCCACTTTAGCAAATCATTATCAGATAGTGCAGTCATTAATTTTAAAGAATCTGTTTCACTTTCTCTCTCCTCTGTGTCGCTGAGCAATGCTGCAGAGTGCAAAAGCTTAGTTTATTCCCCTTCACAGGTTGATGATTTTGTTGATGGGGTTGCTAGTTCTCTGCGTACTGCCTTAGACAACGTAGCTCCTTTGAAAAAGAAAAACTTTCAAAATAGAAAGCTGGCTCCCTGGTTTAATACAGAGCTGCTCACTCTGAAGCAAAATGCTAAGAAACTATCGCTCCAAAGGCCTACGGGAATACTACCTAGTCTGGAAAAATAGTTTACTGCTGTATAAGAGGACCCTTCGTAAAGCAAGAACAGCATATTTCTTCTCATTAATAAATGAGAATAAGAATAATCTTAGATATCCTTTAAATAGAGTTGCCAAACTGACCCAGAGCCATAGATCTGTTTAACCGTCCATCCCACCTGCTCTTAGAAGTAATGATTTTATGGGATTTTTTTTATAAATAGACAGTTGACTTGAGAGGCAGACTAAAATAAAAGTGGTCTTTTTACACTAGATATTATATAAGATGAAGTACTACTAAACTGTTGTGTTTCTGATTAAAGGTTTCTTCCTGGGACGATTTAGAAACAACTTATTGGTGGGCTAATCCATTTTTAGTAGAGCTTTTTAAGCATTCTAAAATAAATATAAAAAAAAAAACAATAATCTGATTCTCATTTCGTTTGTAAGTTATGTAAAGGGAAATACAAATATTTTCGACTTAAAAGATTCTACTCAAAGGACAGAAAGAGGAACAAATTCAGGTATATCCTTCACACGTCAGTGTTAATCCAAGCAATTAGATATTGTGTTAAAAAGGTGCCACAAACATAAAATTTTGAGAGAACAACACAATACCAACTTTATTATTTAGGTAATCCCATAACCAATTTGTTTTTTAACACATTGATTCAAACTGCTGTTGATTTAAAAGACAATTACTGCTGGAGAGGTCAGTGTAAAAGACATTACATAAAAAAAGAGGGTCTGATCTTCAGAAGGTTTGCATGTCCTAAAACAATTCAAACAGGTTTGAACATGCAGAGCAGATCTTCAAAGAAAGTGCAAACTGATTTATATTTATAGTTCATTAGACGGTGTGCGTTCATAAGCAGGTCATATTCTAATGACCACAAAAATACCTGCGTTCATTGTTCCCAAAAGGAGGATGGACAAAGTCTGTCCACATGTTAAGGTATTGGTTTGCACATTTTAACTTTTACGATCATTATTAGAATAAAGAAAACGTTTGCACATGCAACTCAGGGCACCTTATTTGAAATCTTTGAAGATCAGACCCTTAGTATTTTTACAACAACCACGGGAGGAGAAGAGGCCAGGCTTCCCCATAGGATAATTTCATTGAGGCCTTTCAGGAAGGTGGCTGCACATCCTGTGATGACTTTAATATCGACTGGATATAAGAGCATCTTAAAAGCTTGCACAATGTCTAAATTCCTGAAAAAAACAGGATAAATTCACATCCAAATTCTAATTATGCTAGAGATTTTTATTTAACCTTACATTATAGCAAATCCTAGCAGCTTTGGAAGCTAACACATGTAACTGTATGCTGCTAAAGAATGAGTCAACATGCAAAAACACAATACACACACAAAAAAGAGAAAACAATATGAGAGGCGATTTCAGACAACACATATAAAGTTAAATGCATAAAGAAAGTACAGAATGTGGAAAATATATTCCTTAATTCTGTTTTGTGTTTAGTAAAAAATCACAAACCTTAATGTAATTTTATTATTGTAATTTTACTGTGTGGAGTAAGGCAATGATGAAGTTGTTTTTTTTATTTTTTATTTGTGAACCCTATACACTGGCTTTAGGACACATTGATTGGTACAAAATGTGTATTTTTTTATTTTTGCATCATAAAAGCTTAATCAAACAAAAGCATGAATTGTTTAGTGACTTTACTGATAAGTTCTCGCCTTATAAAGTCTGCCAGTTCATGACGTTCTGTGTGTAGATGGATTTGTTTTTCACTTCTTAATTATGTCTAAAATGGTTTAGAGCAAACCCTTTATACTGTACAGGTGGTGTTTGTTCACCACGTGGAGAGTCCAGAGGATCTGTATAAGTGAACCAAAGATGACACAAAGGTACATAACGCATGGAAGTATTAGCACAGGTGCCTGGCGGTTAGCCTGGGTGCCATTCCGAACTTATTCCCGCCCACAACGTTTGAGGTCGGGAAGTTCGATCTGGCATTGCTCAACATTAGCGCGAGTATGCTCGCACAATATCTGGCGATCCAATCAAATTGTCAGGGCGGGCTTTATACGATGATGGACAGATGATCAACAGTAACGTAATCAACCACGTCACCAAAGCGCGCTTGGGTGACAACAACAATGACTGCCGCTGGAGAGTTGAGGTGTGTAGATTCTGCTATTAGGTCTGTTCTAGAAGATATCGACAGCAAATTAATTTTAAAAGAGGAGCAGAGAAACGCGATCAAGGCCCATCTTCTTATTCTAGGCCTGCAACTGCACGCTTTGATTTGTGTTGACAACAACTATGCGTCGCTTAACATACGTCCACACTCCGTTGGTCTTATTGGTTGTAGGTCTATCCAATTGAGTGCAGAGGCATTTTTTTCCTGGTTCGTTCAAAACACGCCCCATAATCACAGCTCTATGGAGCAGTATCAGACTCATATTCTGACTAGAATTGAGAAGGACTACGTCAGGCTACCTGGCGGTGGTCACAGTAGTAGAACTCAGTGATAGCTGTCTAAGGTCATCCACAGCAGTAACATTGCTTTTTAAATGTAACCTCTCTGCATGTTCACCAATCTTCCCCTTTGCATAAGCGGCAATAGGTTTCATAGTTGCTGCTTAAAGCAGACTTTAGTTAACAGTTTTCATTTCTGCACTGAGACAATTAAGTTATTCAACAAAATCAATTTAATGTTTTCTATGTCCTTAACCCCTTGATTTTCAAATTTACGACTTAATTATCCGTGGAAACTTTAGAGGATCTGGAGAATGTGCATATGAAAAAAAAACAAGAAACTGTGACTTTTTGGAAATGACTTTTTTCCAGGAACCGCGTTTAGATTATTACTGATTTCTCACCTTTGCAGATGTCTCGAACCAGCCCAGGAAGCCTGTCTCTTTGCAGAAATTGTCCATTAGTGTTGAGTTGTTGACGCCATCTTTCTTCTGGTCACATTTGTTGGCGAGGAGAACAGCAGGGATAGGGTTGCCATTCGCCAGCTTTACCTTGCTGTCCAGGTCATGCTTCCATTTAGACACAGCTTCGAATGTGGCGCCCCTCGTCACGTCAAACACAACAAACGCCCCGACAGCTTCTTTGTAGTACACCCTTGTCATGTTCCCGAATCGCTCTTGCCCTGGAGGGACGGAAAGGTGTGAAATATTTATGTTTAAACTGCAGTTAAAAGCATGGAACAGTGTTATAGGTGAAGAAAGGCATGAGATTTCAAATATTTCAAATTTATGTGATGCTACAAAGTTTGAATATAAACATATACATAAATAGTTAGGACTAAATGAGAGAAACAATATTATGACTTCAATTCCTTTTACACACTTCAAACAAGCTAGTATTTGAGATTTGGTGAAAGTAAATCTGAATTCTGAAATCCACATGCATTGAATCGTAAGGCTATATTATTCAGTAAAGAAACTGATCTCAGTCATTATTCTTTGGGGAAATCGAAAATTAAATTTACTGAATTTACTAAAAGCTAATTTGACCTTATTCCACTCATAGCTAAACCTACTCTAAAGCACAGCTTGCTGGGAGTTTTTACAGAGCAACATATTCCAGTCTGACAGTGACTGGATTAAATATTAAACACCATAAATGCATACAACTGTGCATCACCACAGACCGCTATAGGCTAGCTTAAGTTGGCCAAGTGTAACATGTTCTGGCACCCGTAAGGAAGTCTGCCTCACACTTTCAAAAGTCCTCCATTTTCTAATAATGTTTATGAATCCTTCCAAACAATCCTTAATCACTAGGTTCTAAATTGAGCTTATACACACCTGTACTAAAAACTTTAGAACAATCTGTTTATCGCTTTTTCTGTCAACTTTCTAACAAATAAACCAGTGGTACAGATACTTTACATCCTTTTTGGAGATAACTGACAATAAAAAAAAAAGAACAGCTTTTGTTTATAGGTCTCCAGCTATAAGTGCCACTAAGAAAGTGAAGAGATTATCATTATTCAAGATATATATGAAATATTCAATAAAAAAAAAAAATATATATATATATATATATATTTTTTTTTTTAGGGATGCACAATATAATCGGCCCCCTATCGGTATCGGCCTGTATCGGCCTTAAAACTGAATATCGGACATCGGCCACCCCACCGATATTTAACCCGATATTTGATCAGCTTCTGAGTTTCTAAAGTCTAAAAAAAAAAAAAAATACTACTACTTCTTCTTCCTCAATAACTTCTCTTTTACAGACTTAAAAACTTCTAAAGACGATGGAAAAAATATTGATACATTAAAATATCACAATATCTTCATATGCTGATATATTGCCATTTAAAAACACGAGAGTTTGTAACAGAACGATAAAATTTCACGAGATTTTGAAAGTAAAATAGATCGATACCGCGTTTTTAAAACTCAATTTGATATCAGCATATGAAAATATATTTGAGTATATTATTTTTTAAAGTGTCAAAAATGGATAACAAAACTGCTATTTTCAATGACTACTTATTTTTGTCCAGCTTTAACATCAGTATCGATATCGGCTGCATGAGTTTTAAAATATCGGCATATCGGATATCGGCCAAAATCCCAATATCGTGCATCCCTAATTTTATATATATATAAAAAAATGTAAAACATCTTTAGAACTGTAAATTTACAGTCATTTTTACTGTTTGTCAAGGCTGCACTTTTAAAAAAGATGAAATTGTCCAGAGAGCTGTTCCAAATGAAATTTCTTTTTGTTTTACACTTGTGTAACCAAAATAACAAATAAAATCTGTCTAAGTCAAGAAACCAACAATTGTAACATCAACCTAAAAGAACTTATCACATTAAGTTAATCCTAAGGGAAAACTTAAAAGCTGCTGCAAAGATAGGGGTATATCAAAAAACTGTCTAAGACTTTTTAAAACTGCCTGCCTGTCAGAAAGAACTAAGATAAATGCACTTAATACCAGCATTGTATTTTTCCTAGAATGTGCTTCTTAATCATTTTTTTTTTCACTGTATTTGTTAAGCACAAGGGTTACTTATTCTAACCTGACTTGCTTATACTTTGCATATTGAAACTGAAACTTCATTTAAATCAGAATGGGGAAACCCAATCTAAAGATAAGAAAGTAATACATCTCTATGTCAGTCCATATTTCATTTCACAAGTAAGTTGTTAGTGAGGTGCACAGTAAGTCAGAAATTGGATTTGATTTATAATCAGCGCTCAAACAAAGGTTAACTGTTTAAAAACATAGAAACAAATGAGTGGACATAGCATTTTTTTCAGGGGAAATCAACCCCTAAAAGCTACTTCAAGTTTTCCCGAAAGTCAATTTGTGTAAATGTAAAAGGAAGCATCTATCAGCCAGACATGTATTTAGTTTTCTCAGAGGAAAGGCCAAATGAAGCATTTGTTTGATGGATATAGTTCTTAATTAAGTGACGTAAATCAAATACCAATACCCTGTAGCTTTTGAATCAGCTGTTCTAAGAATTCTGCCTGAATAAAATAAAAACAAAAAAACTAAGTGCATGTCCTAAGGGGGATCCCTTAAAAATATTTACTTCTGTTAATCTTAGTTAAACATTTACTTTCTCAGAATTGCATAAACGTATGCTAAACTCCTCATATAACTGCTGCGTTACATGTACGTGAGATTGAAGACAAGTATACCGCATAAAAAGCTACTTAAGTGTATGATTTCTTTAAGAGGTGATTAAACCAGCTACCTTTACTTAATGATCAAAATCACAGAATAATGATTTAGAGCTGAGATTACCTCTTTCACAAGCATTGACAATGTTTTCTTACTAACAATCGTTAACGAAAGACAGGTATGTACTGAGCAGTTAAAGAGGTTAGGGTTTAGGATGCCACTGGAGCCTTTGCAAAGAAAAATAGAATGCATTTGCATGATTGAGTTTGATTGTTGCAATAGGATTCTGCTACTAACCACACAAAAGGAAAGCAGCTGTAAATCAGACAACACTCAACAGCTATTGTGGAAGCCTAAACAAACTCAAAGGGTATGCGAAATTCCTCATGCTGAAATAGGTGACATTTTTCTAAAAGTTTGTCCTTATCCTCAAAATCAAACACATATTTACAATTTTGAGTGTCTTAACAGGTTACTTTGATACAAACACCAAACCCTAACATTAAAAAAAAATCAAAATTACAGATAATAAAACGTATTTTCTTCTCTTCAAAAACTACTGAAGCCTATCACCGGATTCCTTTTTTCTCGAAGTCTGATAATCTAAAAATTAAACATTGTATGAACAAATGTTCCAATCTCTTTCAACTCTGGCTTGATGAATTACTTTTATTATTTACTTTAAGATTTTAGTCATTGCTATACAATATTTTTCAAATCTATGTCAGAATTTTACATATATTCAATAAATATAGTCAAGTACATATATCAACAATCACTAATTAGATGAACGGCCCTTTACAAGTTACAGCAAAAATAAAAAAAAGTTTTCATTAGTATTACCAAGATCTTAACATAATGCTGGATGGATATTTTTCAATTCCATCTAAACAGAAATGGTACAGGTAATCTTAATGGGTTGTATTTATGCCACAGCCCACAGCCCCCTAAAGACATAATCAAAATGTTTGTATAGAGTTAAGATCAGGGGCATCTCAGAAGATTATTTATTACTTTATTTATTCCAAAGCATTCTTTGTGTGCGTTTGCAAACATTGCCCGGATGGAACCTCTGACTCTGCCAATTGTTTAAATTTCTAGCTGTCTATTGAGATAACCTTGGAAAATCACCAGAATACTCTATTTTTTTTTTCAATTTGTCCATTTTTTACCATGCAACAGTACCACTGAAACTGAACTCACCTCCAGCATGATGCTGCTACTATTATGGTTAGAAGTTGGTTAAGTTTTCTTGGGAGTGAAAGCCTCAATCTGACTCATTCAATACTTCTTTTCTGGGACAAAGTTTAATCTTGTTCTTTATTCTCAAAAGTTCTGTTTGCACTTTATTTGCAAGCAACCACTTTTTCAAAGAACAGTACATCTCAAGATCACAAACACTTTAGAATTTTTAAGAGGTGATTAGCTTATAATAATAATGGATAATAATTGAACTTTATTGATTTCACACTGGAGAAATGTATCTCTGCATTTGACCCATCCCTTTGGGGAGCAGTGGGCTGCCATTGTGCGCCATCTGGGGAGCAGTGTGGGGTTAATGGTTTTACTCAGGAACCCAGAGTGGAGGCTGTGTTGATTGAGCTTGAGTTTCAACATATAAATGGGAAGCGTGTAACAGATTTAGTACATATTTTTTGCAATAGCTTTCCTATTAACAAAATAGACTTCAAGGTTAGTAAAGTGGATGTAAGAAAGCAAGTATTTTCGTGTTTCAAAAATAGGAAATGGACTTGGAAAGCAATTGAGGAAGTGTAAGCAAAGCTCCTCCCAACATACTTTCACTTTACTGAATAGGTGGCTTTTCAAGCATGCAAAAAATTTGAGAGGTGTGTTGAAGGGTGTACGCAAGAGAGCAAATCCACTGTGGGGCCCACAGGCCTGGCAGTAATTGCTCATAATTGAGAGTCTAATTTTAGTCGGTATAACCCCAGGTGAATTCACCAGAGACAGGACACAGTGGGACAAAGAGCCGATGGACTAAAATGAAGGTTTTTATTTCCAGGCCTTGTAGGAATCATGCGTCCAGAAGTGAGCAGGCCAAAGCAGGATAGAGCCAGAAATAAAATATCTCCTCCTTTTAGGCTAACCTTTGCTCTTGTTAATGGGCTGACTGAGTCAAATGCAGCAATTATTCAAGAATAGAGTGACATTTTCACACAGCACCATCCCTGTGAGTTAGTAGAGGTAAAGGAACACTGAGGATCATTGTAATTCAGGGAGCTAAACATAGTCTAGGGGTCTTCTATTCTGGCCTTCAGTGTTTTAAATTTGTCTGTGGTCCAGTAAACCAGAATCAAATGATCACATTACCATCTTAGCAGCTATGAAAGGTTTCAGATGCCTGTTAATCACCCAGATACGTAAGTAAGGTGTAGACAATCAGTAAAGCGAGTGTAACAGTCCCAAAAGTATATACAATCCCAATCAAAAGAAGGAAAAGAAGCACAACATAAAGCAATTTTTATATAAGCAAT